GTGGTGGTGCGATCTTCCCGCGTGCTTGTGTGTTTCTAGAGTGGTTCCACTTCGTCTTTAATAGTGAACTTATAGTTCACGTGACTATAACTAATCGTGCAGTACGTGCACGAAATGTACAAGTGCAGTAGGTGGCTAGAGGCGCGCAGGTTCACGAGCGCGAAAACGGCGGCTTCCTACAGGGCGCGGCCACGATGTAGGTGAAAGCCGGTGTGTAAATGACAAACGAGGCTTGGGCGCCACCCGGGCGGTAAGTCGTCAAGTATTTACCGCCCGACGAGAAAATTTAGCGCCATTGGCGCTCGGGCGCTTTAACGGTCCACCCCTGATCCTGGACTGACACCCCACGAAACAGGGCCCAAAGATGTGGCCATGCTCTTTGTAGAAAGAGCCCTCACCCCCAGAGGGGGTTCATCACCCTTACACCTAAATGAAAGGCTGATTGCTTCTACAATCCAGTGTGCCAGTCTCTGGCGAGACACAGGTTTGCCTTTGTGGGCCGTGGCCCAAGAAACAAACAAGTGGTCTGATTTTCTGAGACCAGCGGTCCTGTCCATATAAGACCTTAAAGCTCGAACAGGGCAGAGACAATAAGCTTCTGCTCTTCTGCTGAGGAAAAAGGAGGTGGGTGAAAAGCCCGCAGCTCCACAGGGGAGCAGCTATAAGACGACTCCATTACTTTAGGCACAAAAGCTGGACTGGGCCGCAGACACACCTTAGTGTAGCCAGGGGCCCACCGTAAACAAGAGGGACTGACTGACCATGCCTGAAGGTCACTCACTCTTTTTGCTGTAGTTAAAGCTAAGAGCAGTGCAGCTTTTAAAGAAAGAAATTTCAATCCAGCCCCATCTACCGGTTCAAAAGGATGATGACAGAGGGCCTCCAGAACAAGAGAGAGGTCCCACAGTGGTACCAGTGGCCTAAAGACTGGTAGCTTACGGCGAGCACCCTTCATGAAGCGACTCACTAATGGGTGTTGCCCCACTGGTTTGTCACCAAACTCCACATGGCATGCAGAAATTGTAGCCCGATAAACCTTAATAGTGGAGAAAGCTTTACCCTTGTCCATCAGACTCGGCAAAAAACAGAGTACATCCACCACCGAACACTGAAATGGGATAACATGTTTTTCTTCACACCACACCTCAAAAACCCTCCATTTACAGCTGTAAAGAGAGCGAGTTGAGGGGACCCTAGCGTTTTGAATGGTGTCAATGACACATGGGGGCAGGCCTGCCATGCTCAGATTCCACCTCTCACGGGCCAGGCCCACAGAGACAAGCGGTCTGGGTGAGGGTGATAAATCTCTCCCCTGGCTTGGGACAGGAGATCCCTGCGGACAGGCAGGGGCCACGGTTTGTCCCAAAGCATCTGGATTATTTCTGCCACCCACGGCTTGGATGGCCACAATGGAGCCACCAAGATCAAAGACAATCCCTGTTCCCTCACTCTTATTAGAATGGAGGAAATCAGACTGAGAGGAGGAAATGCGTACAGCAGCACTCTCAGCCACTGGTAAGCCAATGCGTCGACTCCCAGAGGTGCGTCCGCGTCTGTCAGGGAGAAGAAGAGTGGGCAGTGGGCGCTTTCCCATGAGGCGAAGAGATCTACGGTAGCCTGACCGAATCTCTGCCATATTTGGTGCACCACCTGGGGGTGGAGTTTCCATTCTCCGTACAGAGGATTTCCTCTGGACAGAAGGTCTGACACTCTGTTCAAGCTGCCCGCCACATGTGTTGCACGGACTGAGAGGAGTCTGGAGCTGCACCACGCAATTATTTCCTTGGCTAGTGAGTGCAGCTGTAGGGAGCGTGGCCCTTCCTGACGGTTGATATAAGCTACCACCGCGGTGTTGTCCGTCTTCACTAAGACATGACGGTCCCTTAAGTGGGGCAGGAAGTGCTTTAAAGCTGGAAACACTGCTAGGAGTTCCAGCACATTTACGTGAACCCGTTTCAAACTGCGCGACCAAACGCCGTTCACTGCTCTCCCCATCAAGGTGGCCCCTCAACCTGTAAGGGGCGCGTCCGTCGTCATGGTAACTCTGGACACCACCGCCCCCAGCGGAACCCCAGTTGTGAGAACTGTTCGGTCTCTCCAAGGCTGGAGAGCTGACATGCACGCCAGAGTTATTTTCACTCTGCGGTGGAGATGACGGCAGGAGCACAGTCTTAACAACCTCACCCACCTCTGAACATCTCTCATCATAAGAAGCCCCAGTCGCACCACAGAAAACATTGACGCCATGAGGCCGAGAAGGCACAGGCAAAGTTTGTACGACGCACGGATTCCTAACTGAAAACGTGCGACACACTGTGTGAAGGACGCAATCCTCTCTTCTGACAACGAAACGCGATAAGAGAGAGAGTCTATCTGAAGACCCAGATATTCTGTGCACTGTCTGGGGAATAAACTGCTCTTTGTCCAGTTTATTTTGAACCCCAGGTCGGTCAGATGGTTCAACACCACCAGCGTGTCGCTGGCTGCTTGCTCCCAAGAGGGAGCGCAAATCAGATAATCGTCTATGTAAGAGAAAATTTTGATCCCACGAGTCCTCAGTGAGGACAGTGCCGCCTCCACACACTTGGTGAACACCCTCGGTGCTAATGACAGCCCGAACGGGATGGTTTGAAACTCGTAGGCTGTGCACTGATAGGCAAACCTGAGAAATTTCCTGTGTGGAGGATAAATAGAGATGTAAAAATAGGCGTCCGCGAGATCGATCATGACAAACCAATCTCCTGGGCGGACAGAACGGCAGCTACTTTCTGCAGAACTTTATTCTAGATATTTCCTGCAAATTAGCAACAACCATTCTTTGGTTTGACGTTGCTTGTTTCAGCTGTCATCAAGGATATAAAAGTTACAGAAACATTGAATGTTACTGGTGTGTAGCTCACCTTGTAAGATGTCTCACTCCCATGCAGAAGACCTGGGTTCGATTCTGGATGTGAACATAGTTTATTTAGAGTTTCTTTTTTACATTAATGGTATATTTTTTTACAGTAAGATGCCCAAATTTTTATTTGAGACTCGCCGAACGGCATTGAATTCCCAGATAAAAAAGATGTGGGTTCAACTCATTTTGGAACAATTTTTCAAGCAAGGGAAGGGAATGATCTGAGCATGCAGGAGGACTGACGCATCATAAACCTTTGTCAGCTGTGCTGAAGAGAAAGGTACAGAACCAAATTTTTTTATTAATTAGCTGCGCGTTCTCCTGTCCTCCGGGCCACACACACACACACACACATGGGATTGTCTCAGTTGTTATTTTCATTAAGGAGTGTGCACGTACAGCGTGCGCGCCTTGTGCACGAGCCTACAATTGAAGCTGCCGTTACGCTTTTGGCCTCAGGGGGCAATCGCAAGCATAAAAATTCAAAAGTCTGTAAAGTCCCTTTAATATAGATGTGAAATCAATACTTGTAAAATAATTGTGAACCGTGATTATTTCTCAGACTATAATCGTACCACCGAAATTTATAATCGTTGCAACCCTACATGAGGCGAGTTTTCACTGTGGGAACTTTTCGGCAGGCGCGTGTCTGCTCTTCACCAGACCAGCCAAACAGGCCTCTTTCAGGAACTTTTGGAGTATATGATCAGGGATAAGTAGTACTCGGAATGGCCTGGTGGAGTAGCAGAGCGGAACTTTTGGTTAACTCACGCTGAATGGTTGTAACGTCAGTGGGAAATGACATCAGCAGACATCCAAAACAACCAGCATTAGAGTTGCTACTTGTGAAGCAGGATGGAAGCAAAAGAAGAAAAGCAGCAATCACGCTGCTTTAAAATTGCCGTTACTGAACTCCCAACACTGGAAAAACACGGTGGAATTCACCTACGAAATAATTTGCGGGGATTTGTTTTCTCACAGAACGCCGTAAAAAACTGAGGTTTCTTCCGGTCTTTGAACGCCACATTTTACATCATGCGGCTGCTTTCATCCTCCGAATGGATTCAGTTACGTTGTACTTCTGCAGAATAAAACTTTTAATGTGTTTAATGTTACTGTGGAAACTTTTTGGAGTTGACCAGTGACATCACTCATTGCCGTAGCTGTCGCGATATGCTGACGTCTGAGCAAAGTCTGAAATTAACATGAAGACACTGCAGCTGAGAGGACCGGGACATCGTAACTCCCGCTCAATATCCCCTTCCGAAAACGTGTCCTAAAATTCTGACAATGGAGACACGCCCATGGACTAGGACTAGACCTGTACTGGACATGGACCTGGTGTTGGACTCAGTGCTTCCATTGCAGACCGTTGCTGCTGCATGTAAAGCCAGCATTTGTTCATCTGAGGACCTGCTCTTAAAGGGACAGTCCAGTCATTTTAACACGTTTCTGTGTAAAATATATGAATTAGTAATAATATATATAAACAAGCCATTAGATATAAGTCAGACCTGAGTTGTTCCAGAAAGCTCCCTGAATGGCCTCTGTTCAGAGAAACGGTTTACACAAGTCCTTCTAACAATCCCACAACGACCAACACGACCAGATCCAGTCCAAACGGGAACAAAGATCGGCTTATTTCTCTGAACTGAGCCTGTTCAGCTGATTAGTCAGTAACTATTTATAACTATAACTAAATATAACTAACAGAAACATGATTAAAAATCCCTTTAATGGCTTAAAAACAAAACTGTCCATCCATCAGAACCTCTACTGACCATGTCTGCATCTGAAAGCGATTCCTCCTTTTCCTCTTCAGGTATTCTTCACAGCTCACCCGACTCTTTGGCCGAGTCCTGGTTCAGGTCCAGACTCAGCCACCAGCGCAGCTACAGCTCAGCTCACTCCTACGAAGAGTCGGACTTGGACCTGAACCATTCACTGGGGATCCATGCTCTCATAGACAACATGGTGAGCTTCATCAGCGGCGACGTGGGCCATGCTCCAGCCTTCAAAGAACCCGAGGAGGGCGTGTCCACCAGCCCGCAGGCCACCATCCTGGCCATGGAGCAGCAGCAGAGCCGTGCGGAGGTGAGGTGGTTGGTCCAGTTATCTTCTTAGTGCTGGTTCCTGCTGGAAATCAGTTCTTAGCTAGGGCTGCAACAACGAATCGATAAATTCGATGAAAATCGATTACTAAAAGCATTGGCAACGAATTGCGTCATCGATTCGTTGTGTCGCACAACTCTTCCAAAAGCGCCCCTCCCTTCCCACCCGCCGTTGCGCGCAGACCAGAGCAAGTCAGATCAGCGCGAGGGAGAGCCGGCAGATCAGCGCGAGGGAGAGCCGCAGATCAGCGCGAAGGAGAGCCGGCAGACTTGCGCTGCTGCGAACCGGTTCCGCATTGTTGCGCAGCGATCCAGGCAGCTGCTTCCAGCGCACGGTCCATTCTCAAAGTGGCAAAACCAAAAAACTATAATTAGCACACGATCATTCTTGTCTGCACATGTTCTCTATTTTCTGTCTTATTTGTGCCTGAAGCGCGCTACTGCGGAGCTCATCACCTGTGCTGTGGTGATGAGCTCCGCACGCAGCATCGAAAACGCGCTCTGCGCTTTGCGGTCAGGAGATCTCTTTGATCTGCTCAAAAGTAACTGATGAGGTGAAAAGGTAAGAATCCAGGCAACAGATTTTCTGGAGAATTATGAGGAGATGCAGGAAGATGAGAGACAGACAGGACAGGAAAATAGTTAAATAAAAACAAGAAAGCACAGTAAAATGTAGGTAGATTTATCTCCACTACACGTTTTTACCAGTAAAAAACAATAAGTTATACACATGTCTTATTTATACATCTGATACAATTCAGATCACCTTCAAAACTCAGTCACACACCCAGGGCCGTTTCAAGACATTTTGGGGGCCAAGGCAAAATGCCCCCCCCCCCGCCCATAACTGGGCTCCCCAGAAGCCTCTGTGTAATTCATACCCTCTCCAGTAGTGTTAGTTATACAGTGTTTATAAAAGCCCCTCAGACATTACTGACATGTTCTAATATTATCAGATGAAAAACTAAATTATCAGACATGCTGTCTCATCTGCTTCTTTTCTAAACTTGCAAAAAGTAACAAAACCATGTGAAAGCCACTATTTGTGGATTCTCTGAAAGTTTCCATGGAGTGTGTGACAACTTATTTTTTCATTGATCCTATCGTCTAATCTCACAGCTGAAACAAGCATCCTTAATCATCTGTGCACAGGAAGCTTACCAATGCTGTAGTAAAACAAAAGGTATAATAATTTATTATTAATAAAACCTTGTTGCAGCACTAAAGCATAAAAATTAGATTTTGCATTAAATATGCAAAATATTTACATATGAATTGTTTTAGAGCCCTTTTACTGGTAAAATCTGATATTAATTTAGTTCTTACAAAAAATGGGTCCCAACATGGTTTGTGTGGCATTGCCATAGTGTGATGCCATAGGCACAGATCCCCTGTCCTCTTGTTTGGAAATGGAAATATGATCACCCTATATTAAACAACCTGTCCACCCGGGCTTTTGCGCTGCACAGAGACGCTTCGCTGCCTACGACTTTGAACGTCAGTTGAGAGTCAGTCTCATGCAGACTGACCAATGAAGAGAGGGCCTCAAGTTAAGATGCTCTCCTCATTGGTCAGTCCACACGAGGTGGGTCAAAGGTTACTCTGGGCGGGTTACGTGTTGTCAGGCATTCAAGTATTGAGTATATTTACTGCATATTACAGTAAAATATTCTGTATGTGACCACATTATGGTGATCCTCGGGTCGTGATGATGGAGCCCTTGAATATTGTTGCCCAGGGTACAACAAAGTGTTAATCTGGCCCTGGTTCTGCCGTCACATTCCCGCAGAAACTGGTTGATACACCGGGGCCAGACTACTAGCATGTGGTTTTACAACCACAATGTCCTCGGAAGCAAAAACGCTTTTAAAAGGGAGGGAGGAGTCCTAACTGTTGCTGCAGGCGTGTTGTGTGAGAGTGCAGTTATATACTGGTTAATATATTTTTGGGTTCAGTTGCTTTCATGTGGCCTAATGTGAGTCTATTTGGGATCATTGGAATGATCAGCAGCATTTCTTGATGTGACTTTATGGCAGTTGCCCAGGGCATCATCACAAGGAGGATGGCATTCATTTACTTTTGTTTTATTTGGTATTTTTTCAGTCATTTTTGGAAATAGTGATCTATTTTGATTAATTCACAGCCTATGTTTAATTACATTTAAAATAAATGTCAACAGATGAGATCAAACAAAACTGATGAGAATTGCCCTTAAGCTGTTTAACTTGGACCAAGCATTTTAGGTCACAGATAGATGTAGCTTAGAGTCTCTGTCTATACACCTTATAAGACAATTTAGGTGATGGCATGTTGTTTTTCTGCTATTGAACTGTTTTCTAATAATGTTGTGTTAAATAAAGTGAAGGAAGGAGAGAAATAACGTTTCCCTAGCAGTTTTTAAAAATTTCCCCATGTAATCCGATTAATCGTGTCGAGACCCCATCCGATTAATCGATTATCCAAATAATCGTTTGTTGCAGCCCTATTCTTAGCACATTTTTGAATCTGCATTTTAAAACTCTTGGCTGCATGCATGAGTGTAGGTCACATGACAGGAAACATCAAGTTCCCATGATGCAGTTGGATGATGCTTTTTCCTGAGAATTCTGGTACTGAGCTGTGATGTTCTTCTGTTGAATACGTGGATTTTTTGCTTCTCCAGCTGCGGTTGGAGGCCCTCCATCAGATTGTGGTGCTGATCTCAGGCATGGAGGAGAAGGGGAGCCAGGCTGGAACCACCGACCGGTCCAGCAGCACCTTCCAGTCGTCGTTCTTGCTCACCTCCGTCAGGCTTCAGTTCCTGGCTGGCTGCTTTGGTCTCGGTACCGTTGGTACCGGCAGCCTAAAAAGCGAGAGCATGCAGCTCCATCACTATCAGGTGAGGAGGAGAAGCCATGCTGGCGGAAAGTGACTCATTAGCAACACCTGGCTGATGCAGACAGGTGTGTTTGTGTTTCAGGATGGAATCAAAGCAGCAAAAAGGTGCATCCAGATGGAGATCCAGACGGCTGTCCACAAGATCTACCAGCAGCTGTCTGTCACTCTGGAGAGGGCGCTTCAGGCCAACAAGCACCACATAGGTACTGATCACTCCATCCATCCACCCACCCATCAGTCTGTCCACCCATCTTCATTATAAAGTTCAGACTAATATTATTCCTGCCTCTTCCTTTCAGCTCTAACAGTAAATCATGTTTATATTTCAGGTGCAAGAAGTAATAACTATTTTATGTATTTTTTAAAAAATAAATAAATTCTTGAAATGAACCAAATATTTCAGCCAAATTTGTAAATTTGTTTTCCTTTAACCGAAGCTGAAACAAAACAAAAATAATCAACTTTTGCATTCTTTTTGCTTTGCCATGTGAGTCTACTGTCTCTTTAAACACTCCAAATGTGAAATAAAAAAGCGTCCATTTGTTGACTACGTGTGTGGTTTCAGAAATCATATGTCTAAAATGAGCCCTTTCAAAAAGTCCCCATTTGTGACATCACAAGTGGGGTTACCCTCACCACCATCTGTCAATGCTGGAGGAGCAGCAGCTCTACTCCAAGCCCCCCCAATATCTTAACTTATAGCAGCCAATTGGGGAATGTGTGGGTGTGGCCAGCAACAGCTTGCTTTCTAAATGTGACAGAGCTCTGAAGTGGCTCATTCTGGAAGGTACTGAAAATGTTAGGAATAAAACTGCTGAGTCACTTTAGATGAGACCAAAGACCTGATATAACTTTTAAAAATTCTTATATGTCCCCTTTAAAGGAGCAATATGCTACAATTTTACAATGAAATAATTACAAAAGAGCCTAATGTCAATCATGTTGGAAGGAAAGTAACATTGAAACCGATTTTCTTCTCAGCCAGCTGGGGGTTGTCAGTTTTTCCGCCTTTAAAATGGTCAAAAAGAAACAGAGTTTTGGTTTACAATTTGCGAGCCCCCACATGTATTTATCTACTTATCAACTTGCTGTGTATGGCTCGTCATTCCTGTCTTCTATCTTCTGGCAAGAGCTCTGAAAATCACTGAACGGGTATGAGAGAGTCACTTTAGAAAAATGGACTGCAGTACCCAAATTTGACCACAGGGTATAATTCTTTCATATTGCACCTTTAAAATTGAAATTAACATATTTGCCTTTAAAGAAAACAGCAGGAATTATATAACAGCAGTGACCGAACTTTCGCCTTTCCAGCCATCTGATTTTTTAGTGTTTAAATCTGGGTTTTTAAAAAAAACTTGGATGAAAAACATTTGTGAAAACTGTTTTCTTCAAAAGCACAAAGGGAGGAGCAGTCTGGCATTTCACTGGGTCTCCTCAAATTAGTCAGAGGAGACAAAGACAGCAAGTACTGAAACATCTTCATTAATTCTGGGTCAGAATGTCCCGTTCTTGAAAATCCCGTCAACTGCTCCACAGCAGAAGATTTTTTTGTTAGATCCAGTTGGTTTTCTTCTGTTTGAGCTTTTCTGTTTCCTCTGTAGAAGCTCAGCAGCGCCTGCTATTGGTGACGGTGTTTGCTCTGAGCGTTCGTTACCAGCCCGTGGACGTCTCTCTGGCCATCTCCAGTGGACTTCTGAATGTTCTGTCTCAGCTCTGTGGCACTGAGACCATGCTGGGTCAGCCCCTTCAGCTGCTGCAGAAACCTGGAGTGTCCCAGCTCAGCACCGCCCTAAAGGTGGCCTCCACCCGCCTGCTGCAGATCCTGGCTATCAGTACTGGGTAACATGTTCAGAAAGCTTGAAACACCGATAACCTGAACTGATGCAACTCAGACCAACAGCAGTGTCTCTTCTTACAGGACATATGCAGACAAGCTGAGTCCTAAAGTGGTCCAGTCTCTGCTGGACCTGCTCTGCAGCCAGCTGAAGAACCTTCTATCTCAGGCAGGAGTGAGCCGTCTCTCTGCTGGAAAGGACCAAGAGGACACCAAACAGGAGGACAGCACTGACTCTGAGAGGAAAGACTTCAGAGGTGAGAGACATCTTCATCATTGCTGAAGTTATTGTTTTCGTTTCTTTTAAGGGGCATTATGGAAGTATTCTCCTGCAATGCCCTGGTCCTGTAGAATGAGCCCTGGCATTTTTACTGTGATTGCCTGTTTTTCTGGCCAGGACGCTGCTTTGTTTGAATTCATCAACAGCACCACCATTACAGTGGAATGTGTGTGTGAATGGATGAATGATACACTGTAGTGCAGTGGTCGGCAAATGGCAGCCCACGCCCGGCCCTCGAGCCCTCTCTTTGTGGCCCCAAAACCGACTCCCCCGCGCACCCCCCACCCTCGACGGCCGACCGGGAGGTGTAGGATAGAGCTGAGGAAAATAATCAAATAATCAATGCATGAGATGCGGGCATAAACGGTTTTGCATCATAGAAGAGTACCATAATCAATTATAGTGGAATGTAGTTCTGTTGTTTTAACGGCGGCGCCAGCGTAGCATCCACATCTGTCAGAGAGGGTGTTCTCCACATTTACTGGGTAGGAAACTTTGGTATGCCTTTATGTGGTACTGCAGGGCTGAGCGCTGGAGTTATAACCTGAGACCGACCCCGAATCGAATCAGCCCGACCGGTTCTGTTGGATTTGGGTCGTAAATTATGTTAATTGAGCGAGTTGTCGCGCGGCGCGCTCCGCTCGCTCGATCAGAGAGAGAGAGAGAGAGAGAGAGAGAGAGAATTGGAGGACGCTCCTCCAAACACGCGTTACTATTTTCATAATTTCATTATTGTTTCTCCTGGAAGCGCTCAGTCAGACCGAGTGCTGTGATGTCGAGAGGTCCGGTCTTGGGGAGGGGGCGGGGTCAATGACAGCGGCTGCAGCGTGAACGTCTGTCTCTTTTATTTAGGGACACAGGGAAGTTAAAAGGAGAGAGAAATAAAGATAGAAGTTCTTGTTCCATTTTATTCTTTTGTTTCATGATGATAAACTGATGTTAAATTCAGCTTAAAGAGAAACTGGGAGGAAGCTTTGGTTCATTTGAAGTTACAGGAGATCTGTCTCCTATCTACTCCTCCAGAGACAGCATGGACATGAGGGTTACATGGTGAGGGTCACACAGGACAGGTTAGCGCAGTCACACAGCCGAGCTGGAGGGGGACAGGTGCTGTCCTTCTTTATATTGCAAGCTTGTGTGTTATGTGCATTACAGCCAGCGATCCAAACAGCTTCTGGGTTGTTTTTTGTGTGTGGCCCTCAGACCATTATAATTGAGGACCCTTGCTGTAGTGTATAGAGCTTTGGAGTCCTCTGACTCAGAAAGGCGCTAAACAAGTTTGGATCATTTATCATTTAGACTAAGCTACTGCTAACATCCTTTTTGGAAGAACGTAAAACAACAAAGAATGTCGAAACTCACATGTAATGTTCCAGGATGTTGTAGAAATCCAGTTTTATACGAATACCAGACAGATCCGTAGCTTGCCTACTGAGTAATCAGGACACCGAATGTGGCCATAAACAGGGTTTATAGTTTCAAACAGCCATAGACTCTTTGGTGTGAACCAGCAAATCAGCACACAGCTGTTTAGTTATTTATGTCCTGGCCGAGCAGGCAAGGAAAAACATTCCATTGTAGAGCTGTGTTGTGGGGATGTGTCTGTCCGATTATCAGGGCTCCTGGGCAGTTCGGAGTCCCATCAAATTCCAAACGCTATATAGAGGCGCAAAGAAAAGTTTCTAAATGTGATAACGTTTTGTTCTAGAACCTTTTAAAAAAGGATAATGAGAAAATAAATAACAAATAATAAATAATTAACTCATTCACTTCCAACCGTTTCCTGATCAGTAAAGCCCTTCGCTGCCATCGTTTTTCAGCGTTTTCAATGTTGTTGTTTTTTTTTAAGAGTCACAGAACGTTGCGCTCTACGGTGACGCCAAAACTATCAAAACAAAGCGGAGACTCGCCTCTTACATCAGGAAGAATCCGTGCTTTTCGAGCGTTATCCGTCCTTTCACAACCCGTAGTCGAATTGCGATCTGCAGAATCTTTTCCGGTCCACGCCTCACTTTTCTTTACAACAGGGTCCCAAAACGATCTCCTAACACATGTATTTTCTGCTTCCTGGTCACGTGACGTGTGACGTTCGCGGATGAAGATGAAGTTCGGCTTTAGCGCAGGCATGGTTGTTCTCATAATGTGGGGCCTCGTTCCGACGCCCACACAGTAAAAAAGAAAATGCAGTGAATGAGTTAAAAATGCACCTAAAAATGTCAAAATGTCTCTAAATATTTCTGAATCCTGCTGATGGTGATGAAGAAAGTTCCAGTCAAACAGATAAAAAAGCGTCTTTTGTAGATCACATGGTTTCTGAGGCATAATTGGACGGATTGCTGTTTGTCCATCTGATGCTGATAGGTGACTAATATTAGGAGCTCATGGTCAGAAAAATCCAATCAGACCATCTGCCACAGAACCCTGAAACTTGTAGAGTTTTGTTTCATAGCAACAAAAACGATAAAAACAGCTTTTTATTCTTCTTGTGTCTCAGGTTTTATCCGTAAGCAACACACAGCAGAGCTTCACCTGGGAGACTTCTTGGTCTTCCTCAGGAGGGTGGTGTCCTCCAAGGCCATCCAGTCCAAGATGGCATCCCCTAAATGGACTGAAGTCCTGCTCAACATTGCTGCTCAGAAGTGCTGCTCGGGTAGGATTTTGTTCCTCAACATCTCATGTGAATGCTCTGGATTTAAAATCTGACTGGGACTCTCTCCTGCCTGGTGTCACACGAAGGTGTTCCTCTGGTGGGAAACATGAGGACTCGGCTTCTTGCTCTTCATGTTCTGGAGGCAGTCCTTCCAGCCTGCGAGGCTAGTATGGAGAATGACCAGATGACACAGGTACCGCTCATTTTGTCTTGAAAGATTCCTCTGTACTTTGTTCCTCAGAAGACCGAAGTTTGGTTTGTTCCTCAGGTGGTGGAGCGTCTCTTCTCTCTGCTGTCTGACTGCATGTGGGAAGCTCCTGTTGCTCAGGCCAAACGCACCATCCAGATTAACGAGAAGGTCCAGGAGCACAAACTGCAGGTGATCAAACCCCCACCTTGACTTTAGTCAGCTGTTGGTTTCCTCTGCTGATGGATGGTTTGATGGACAGGGAGAAGCAGAGGAGGAAGACGAGAACCTCCCCATTCAGGAGGTGTCCTTTGACCCGGAGAAAGCTCAGTGTTGTGTGGTGGAGAATGGTCAGGGCCTGACACACGGCAGCGGGGGTAAAGGTTACGGCCTGGCCTCCACTGGGATCTCCTCTGGATGCTACCAGTGGAAGGTCTGATTCACTTGAAACTCCTAAAACATCTTGCTTCATCAGAAAAGTTTGTTTCCAAATAAACCACAGCTTCGTTTTCTCCCCTAGTTCTACATTGTGAAGGAGAATCGGGGCAACGAGGGCACATGTGTGGGCGTTTCACGGTGGCCCGTGCACGACTTTAACCACCGCACCACGTCTGACATGTGGCTGTATCGAGCCTACAGTGGAAACTTGTATCACAACGGGGAGCAGACTCTGGCGCTGAGCAGCTTCACCCAGGGAGACTTCATCACCTGCGTCCTCGATATGGAGGCCAGGACCATCTCCTTTAGCAAAAACGGAGAGGTGAGACAGGTCCTAAACCAGATCAGACCTGCTGATCCAGACCAGAACTTGCGATTCAATAGCCAGATTTCTTATATTTTTTAAATGTAATGCTGGTATTTGGGTGATTTTTGACCCATTTTCTTTACTTCTAAGATTGTTTTATGAGCATCAGTCTGGTAAGATCTGGAACCAGAACTGAAGAGGAGTGAAAAAGCACCTGAAATAGTAAAACAAAACATGTGGAAGACCAGAAAATGTTTACAGAGCTGTTTCTGATATTTTGCATTACGGGTTGTATCAACTAGTCGACTTCACTGCTCTATAGTGACTTTTTATGCCTGTCATCGACTAGTCGCTGTCACGTGATAATGACCGACAAGATGCAGTCCTCGGAAGAGACAGCAGGTGACGAGCTCCTGTGTGTCGGGAGGCGACGCGCTGTGCCAGAATGTCCGTATCTGACACCCGTTGTAAAACGGACATTTAACCAAATTGTGACGTTTACCCTCTTGCAATTTAACCTTACCCTCACCCCCATCCTAACCTTAACCAGCTTGCGCGTGCAAAGCTCTGATTGTTGACGCGCTCCAGACATCTGCGTCCTGAGCACGGCCACAGTATCATAATCAAATCAGGTGTCGCCACCTCAAAAACTAATTTAACACGCGATCGTTCATGTCGACTCATTTCCTTTTATGTTTTCTGTCTTTTATTTGTGCCTGATGCGTTTCGCTGCTGTGGAGCGAGTCGCATCACCTGTTTTGTCGTCCGGTGACGCACCTCGCCGGTGCGGCTGGCGCGCACTCCACTGTTTTTGCGGTCGGTAGATCTTTCAGAACTGCAGTTCAAAGGTAACTCATGAGGTGAATATATATGAACCCAGGTAGCAGTTTTTCTTTAGGATTGAGAGGAGATGCAGGAAGATAATAAACAGGCAGGACAGAAAAATAGTCAAATACAAACAAGTTAGTTTTTGTACCTGGTGGTTGCAACAAACAGACACAATTGAAGGTAATCAGAAGTGAGGAACAGAAAATGAAATAATAATTTTAATGTTTAGAGCAGCTGGAACTCTGAGAGGCTGCAGGCGCATCAGTGAGTTTGCGGCTGCTGCGCAGGGGGAGGGGGGAGAGGGCTGAAGCAGAAACTACCGTTGCTAAAAGAGACGTGTTAACTTAGACCCCCCCCCCAGTACGTCGGAAAAAACGCTTGGTCGCCCATTGTCAGTTTTAGCCGCTTCAGGTGTGTGACGTCATCAACGACTACTCGAAGTCGACTCGATTTTCATTACTTGACGGTCGACTTAAAAAGAAAATTAAGTCATGCAGCCCCTATTTGCTGCTATAAATAAATGTTGATTTGCACAAATCTGAGATGTTTGTTTAACAGGAGCCCAAACTGGCATTTGAAGACGTGGACGCTGCAGAGCTCTATCCCTGTGTGATGTTCTACAGCAGCAACCCAGGAGAGAAGGTGTGACATAATCTCCTGCAGTTCTCCAGGAATAAAACCCTTCTGTGATTCTTGCTTCCTCTGGTTTGTTTTTGTTTGATCTCCAGGTGAAGATTTGCGACATGCAGATGAGAGGAACTCCTCGAGACCTCCTCCCAGGTGACCCAGTCTGCAGCCCCATGGCCATCGTTCTGGTGGAGGCCACCACACAGCTAATTCGCGTCTTGCACCGCACCGACCACTGGACCCACCGCATCAACAAGACCATGATCGAACGTCTGCACAAAATTAAGCTGTGCTTCAGAGAGTCGGCCGGCGGGTCGAGTGGTGCTGGCAGCCAACGGCTGAAAAAGAGTCGCTCGGTGCAAAGCCGCGAGGAGCATGACGCGCAGAGGGAGAGCCAGGAGGTGCCTGCCAAAATGGAAGAGGAGAGGGGTCGTCACGGGCGGCAGCATGGGCTGGGGGAACTGTCGGAACACCATCTCAGAACTTTGTGCATGGAAGTGTGGCCGGTTCTGGCCGTGATCGGAGGAGCGGACACCGGTCTTCGCGTGGGAGGACGATGTGTTCACAAACAGACCGGGAGGCACGCCACACTGCTGGGCGTGGTGAAGGAGGGCAGCACCTCGGCTAAGGTCCAGTGGGACGAAGCCGAGATCACCATCAGGTACCGGGTCCAAACCCTTTTTGCTTCTGTTTACCGAAACAGTCAGACGATTTCATCAGAGAAATAAAAGCAGGAAGCTCCACCAGAACACGTTTAAGGTCCAGAACCGTCACATTATGATTCCATGTTTGATACAAACAGAAAAATTAATCTAACTGGTTTAACTGGTCCAAGTTTGTTCATCAGTTCCAGCAAATCAGATGTTCTAATCATGTATCAGGTGGTTTCTTGTTCTTGTGACTTAGACCACTAAGCATCACTCTGATCTAGTCTTTGGGTTTCCCTTCACTTCCTGGTTTCCCTCTCAGTCGTTTTCACTTCTTGCACGTTGTGATTGTCATTCCCACCGATCTGCGACGTTCCTTCTCTCCTGCCCTCTCCCTCACTTTCTGTTTCCTTTCCTTGTTTCCTGTTGCTCTCCTCTGCCTCCTATTAAAGCTTCCCAACTTTCTGGTCGCCTAGTGACACTCCTCTCTACAACCTGGAGCCCTGCGAGCCGCTGCCGTTCGACGTGGGGCGTTTCCGAGGCCTCACCGCTTCGCTGCTGCTGGACCTCACCTATCTGACCAGCATCTATGAAGAGACCACCGTGAAGCTCAGCGCACGGCGCCACGAAAAGAAACACCGCAATGCTGCGTCGACGGGGCACGAGCCAACTGGAGCAGATGAGAAGTTGGACAGCGATGGCCACAACCGCGATGAACAGAAAGGGAGCTCTAGTGCTGCCACGGTAACCTCTGACCTGCGAGTGTCTCACAGCCTGGAGGAGGTGAAGTCTCACGTGGCACCAAACTCTAAGTCTGAAAGTGAGATCTCCTCTGTGGTCGGCGAAGGGAACGAAACCATTTTCGCAGCAACTCCTCATGGTGTGGAAAGTGGAAGGAAGAAGGGTCACGAGCACAGCTCCCGCTGTCACGAACTGTCATCCATTAGCACCCAATCAGAGATCCAGGCTGTCCAGCTGTCCTACCTGTACCTGGGAGCCATGAAGAGCCTCAGCGCTCTGCTGAGCTGCAGCAAATACGCCGAGCTGCTCCTCATCCCGAAGGTATGGAAAATCCTACATGCAGGAGTTGTGTAGGGTTCTGAGGAGACGGGAGCAAGTCCAGTCTGTTTTTGTTGTTTCAAAAACGTTTATAAAAATGATTCCATCCTTAACATCTGAGACTTCACTTAAAGAATTCCAGGGTTTGATCTACTCCAGGGTTTAGTCTATCTGTTGTCTAATCTCCTGACCATGTGACCATCAGGTCTTACCTGAAGCGGTGCCGAGTGGTCATAATGCCGATCTGAACACCAGCTCAGGTGGGAGCACGACAGCCACCTCCCCGGTGTGCCAGGAGGAGGTGGAGATGCGAGCTGCCCTGCAGTTCCTCATGAGGCACATGGTGAAGCGCGCCGTGATGCGTTCTCCTATCAAGCGAGCTCTGGGCCTGGCGGACCTGGAGCGTGCTCAGGCCATGATCTACAAGCTGGTGGTGAACGGGCTGCTGGAAGAGCCGAGTGGGTCAAAGGTCAAACTTGGTAAGCACTAACAGATTAATCGGGTCAGTTACAGATCGTAACCCCAACAGAAACGACATATTTGTACTGGGAAGTCTTCCTGAGCTAAAGAGGGCGGGGCTTCCTCCTTGCTGAAGGAGCCAACTGATTTCATGGTTCTCCTCTAATCTCCTCCAGGGGTGAGGAATGAGTCCGAGGGGGAGGGAGAGGGTGCGGATGGGGAGCAGCTGGCTCAGACCCCCGTCACTACCAGCCCCTCAGCCTCCAGCACCACGTCCTTCATGAGCTCTTCGCTGGAGGACACCACCACCGCCACCACCCCGGTCACTGACACCGAGACCGTCCCCGCTTCTGAGTCCCCGGGCGTGATGCCTCTCAGCCTCCTCAGGTGAGACCCGCACCTGTCCTAGACACCTGGTCCTGTTGCACCTTTAACTTTCTGCTCTGCGTTTTGACAGGCAAATGTTCTCCAGCTACCCTACCACCACCCTGGTTCCAACCCGCCGAGCCCAGACCCCGCCCGTGTCATCTCTGCCGACATCTCCATCAGACGAGGTGGGACGCAGGCAGAGTCTCACTTCACCCGACTCCCAGCCTTCCAGACCACAGAACCGAGCCGGAACCTGTGAGTTCACACAAAACTCGAGAGCCCAGAAATCCTGAGACAAAGCTCAGCGAGATAGATGTGTGAGACACGTCCAGCTCCAAAGTTAAGAGATGTCTTTTCACGTGTCTCCAGCTCTGTCGGACCCCAACAGCAGACTGTCTACGTCTCCCCCTCCGCCAGCCATCGCTGTCCCACTGCTGGAGATGGGCTTCTCTCTGCGCCAGATCACCAAAGCTCTGGAAGCCACAGGTTCGTTTGACTCGGAACCAGAACCAACAGGAGATCCTCGCGGGGCCCGAGACAATTACTGATGACATCATACAACATTTAGAATGATACAAACATAGATCAGCTGATTTAAATCTAGCATTAAACCTGAAATTAAAAAAACGCCCTTTAGTTCTGCTGTTGGTTCTGATGTTTTTATTTTCTTCTTTCTGCAGAAAATGTTTTAGTTTATCATCAGATTTTACTGAGTTTTAATGTCAGCAGCGATTCAGTCTAAGGGAACTGAAACCAGGTGTTCGGACTTTGTAATTCTTTTTCGTTTTGAGAAACGTTTTTTTGCTTTTTTGTTACAGAATGTTGATAATAAAATAACAAATGGGTCATTTAATTTCATAAAGGCACTAAACTCATTTATTACATTTACAGTCATCTCTAGTAGGAATGAATGCCTTGTAAGTCATACTCTGAGGTAAAAAAGCTCTAGTGCGCCTCTTTCAGCACAGAGAATTCAGTCACAGCTAGGGTTGGGCATCGTTTGATTTTGAACGATTCCGATTCCCCTCGTTTCGATTCCGGTTCCTATCGATTCCTATTGCGATTCTTTCAAGACATGACATGTTTCACATGAGCCAGCTAACCACAGGTCCTACTTGATGAAATAATCTTAACTTCAACATGAATTTTTATTCTAGGAACAACAACATCACCTTCATTTAGACAAAAACATGTTTTGGAGAAAAAAAGAAAAAGACTTGCAGCACAACCAGTGTGTTTGTTTCTGACCACAACCTAAGTCTGGAAGAAGCCTCTGGGATGAGAGGCTAAATGTCTCCAACATATCCAGAAACGTCCAGCTGTTTTCAGCTAAAACTCTCAGGATGATCATGTCCAGGACGACTGAGAACTACACCTCCACGCTGCAGCAGCATTCAGTCACAACAGGAAGTGAAACTTAAACGTAGCTGCTGTCAGTAACAATCTAACAGATTTTAAACATTAAAACTCTCAACAGAAATAGTTCAGAAAGGGAATTAAAATGTGATTTATAATAATAATAATTATTATTATTATTTATTGTGGCAGAAGCTGGTGTGGTCCACCACAGAGAAGCTTCTCTAGCATGATGACTTTAATTATTCTACAGGTTATTGTTCAGTCTTCTGACGCTCACGTGTCTGACTGCTGATGCTCCGTGTGTGTTTTTATTTCTGCAGTGAGACAAACTCACCTCACACCGTACAGAGTTTATTCTTTAAAGCTTCTATTAAATCCACTGTGTTGACGTGTTTTAACAAGTTTCCTCTACGCTGCAGGAGCTGATGTTTACATTACGGAGTAAAAGTTCGGCAGACACGTTTGTTTAGATTTAGCCGCTGCGTGCGGGGTGGGGGGAGCGGGGACTCGGTGCTGCACACAGACAGCTGGTGTGATCAGCTCTGAAAAGTGTTGATCACAATTTGCAGATCACGTTTATTTTTCACGGAGATCGGCCGCGGATTCCTCTTCCGTCGTCGGCATTCTAGGAATCGAAACTAGGAATCGAAATAAAAAACGTTGAGCGATTCCGGGAAAAATGAACAGTTGGAACCGGTTCCAATCGATGCTCGATTCTTGATGCCCAACCCTACATCAGAAAGTAGCTTCAGACGAGAGGATTTGGAGTCTTACTTCCTGATATTTGGACATCTCTCCTCTAATTGGCTAAACACGACGAGCAACATGACTGTACCCCTGACTCTGTTTGCTCTGCAACGCTGAAGTGACAGTGTGACGTAGATCTGGCAGACTTCTCAAATCCCAGTTTCATCGTCTATTTTCTATCAGAAGCTAATGCAGGAGATAAGTGTAGGAGACTATTTTCATGTTCAGCCTGCATGAAAAAATCAGTGCTCATTTTCATAACTACTAAGTAAAAAATGGTTTCTCTGTGAAGGATCTCTTTAAAGAGAAACATCAGATATTTATGATGTCTTGTTCTGTCAGGAGCTCGAGGAGAAGCAGACGCTCAGAACATCACAGTGCTAGCCATGTGGATGATTGAACACCCGGCCATGGAGGACGAACGCGATGAGCTTCATGGCAGAGGCGGGGATGGGTCCGAGTCCACCTGCCCAGGAGCTGCAGCGTCCACTGGAGGAAAAGCCCTGGACAGGAGCTCCTACCTGGTCTCACCTGGAGATATCGGCAGCTCAGAAACAGCAGAACTTGAGGAGGGTTTCAGTGAAAGGTATAACTGGGAATCTGGAATTCTTTTTTGATGTTCCGGTCCAAAATGTTGGACCCAAGCATCCAAATAAGATCGATTTTTTTCCCCATCTGCTGAAGCTGGTCGTTAGAGAGAAGAAAAGAAAAAAAAACACTACCTTTTGGTGCTGGATCTAATCATTTATCTTTATTCTTCTTCCCATCATCCAAACCTGTAGTCTTTTAGTGGTTCTGGACCAGTGGTTCTTCAAACTTTGAGAAAGTCCAGTTCCTCTCGGTTCTGCTTCGTGAACATTTTCAGAAGAAAAAAACATGATAAATCAGGCTGAGTGGAAGGACGATATGATGAGAGAAGAACCATGAAGTGGTTCTAAGTTCTGTCTCTTTAGTCCTGAAGGTCTGGATCCGGATAACGCCTCGGCCTCCAGCAGCACCCCCATCAGAGGTCGCTCCGCAGCAGGAAGGAAGCACCGCTTTGACCTGGCAGCTCGGACGCTGTTGGCCCGCGCTGGTGAGAGCATCGCACACTGTCCACCGTTAGCCAAACACAGCCGTTCATGTTGGACTTTCTGTCCCTCCAGCTGGACTGTACCGCTCCGTTCAGGCCCACCACAGCCAATCCCGTCGAGAGGTCCCGTCCCTCCAGCAGCAACAAGACCCGGGTGCCCTGTATGATTTCAACCTGGATGAGGAGCTAGAGATGGACCTGGATGAGGAGACCATGGAGGCCATGTTTGGCCAGGACCTCGCCAGCGACACAGACATTCTGGGAATGTGGATCCCGGAGGTACTGGACTGGCCAACATGGGTGTGTGTGACTTTATGCTACAGCCAGTGAGCTGCCGTCACCTTCCTGCATCTCCTGTCACACCCAGTAGATTCTCACATGCACGCTCAAACCACGCTCCAACGAGCATGAAGGAAGAGATTCCTGTAGGAAACCAGACATTGCGTACTGATTGGCTGTTGCTTGGCATCCATTTTCAGACATTTATTGTGGAATCTCTCCTCATAATACACATGCATGAAGGCCTGCTTTTATTTTGAAAGCGTGTGTTGTGTATTTACCTCCTTGTCTGTGTCACACCTTGCAGCACGTGTGTGAGACAGATGACCGTGATGAGGTGGTGGTGTGCGAGCTGTGTGAGGCCAACGTGGCGAACTTCAACCAGCACATGAAGAAAAGTCACCCGGGCTGTGGACGCAGCGCCAACCGTCAGGGCTACCGCAGCAATGGCTCCTATGTGGACGGCTGGTTTGGAGGGGAGTGTGGTAGTGGAAACCCATACTACCTGCTCTGTGGGGCCTGCAGGGAGAAGTACCTGACCAACAAAAACAAGGCCAGAGTCCCCCCTGTGGAGAGGTAACCCACCCTTGGTTCTGGTCCGACTGAAGGGCCTCTATTGTTTTCAGTTTCACACACTCTGTCACGGTTCTGTTTCTAAACATCCATGCTCCCAAATAAACATTTTTATTCTCACCAACTTCCTGTTTGGACCCCCAGGCTCCCTTAGCAGTTCTTCTCTGCTGTCATAGCAGCTTTGTTAGTCTCTGTGACCCGTGCAGACACTTTTCATACATGCCCATCAAACCACACCTGGCCTTAAGCCTCCAGATGGAGAGTCAGGATTAGTGCCTTCCTCACAAACCTGCCATAACCAGTCCTAGACGTGTCTACCGCCCTCTGGTGGAGGATCTGCAGTTGGCAAGGGCCAGTTTTATTTAGTGTTATGGAGTTACATAATGAGATCGAATTGATTATTAAATTGTTACATTAATATTAGAAAATTAATATGTTTATGTTTATTTATTTGGCAGACGCTTTTATCCAAAGCGACGTACAATTGTTACCTATAGGGCATGTTGTGATCTGTGGGGGAAACTGGAGTACCCGGAGGAAACCCGAGCATGCATGCTGAGAACATGTAACTCCACGCAGAAAGACCGCAGCTGGCTTTCGAACCTGCAACCTTCTTGCTGCGAGGCAACAGTGCTAACTGTTGTTGCATAGATCAGCTTTAATTTTTTAATACTGTTTCAGGTTTCTAATAGTAAACTAATGTCTGATTCTTATGCTGTTAATTGATAAGAGCATTTTTATGGTTCATATATTGATTCTCGTAACTTTGGTTTCATAATTTAAAGGTGTGTGTGTGTGTGTGTGTGTTTAATCAACACATCTGCAGTGGAATGAATGCCTTGTAAGTTGTACTTGGTGGGGGGAGCTTGACACTGCAGGATTTGGATGGTGTTTTATCTCCAAAAATAACACAAGTCTGAAGGAGCTCTGCCATGTGGTGGAGTTGCTAATGCTAATGGTAACCCCTACTTCACACTGGAGGCATCAGCAGCCTGGAACTGCTTATTCGCGAGCTTCGCTGTGCACAAAGTCAGTTGCGGGAGAATCAGCCACGATGCAGCTCCTCCTCGCTGGACTCATGAAATCACAAAATCCCTCGAGACTTCGATGGTGTCGGTTTGCTTATGCCAGCTGCCATTAAAGCAAAAAGCAGAAGAAGGAAATCACGGTGATATCGCTGTTTGATGTCATATATAATGTTGTTCCTCACCACTGTCAGGATTAATGCCATGAAAACACACCGTTGCACTTCTCGAACGACGTGGTAAGTCAATCTGCCATTGGGTAACACACATAGATGTAATTAGGGATGCGTATTGGTGAAATTATGGTGATACGATACATACCACGATACAGGGGAGACAATACAATATATCACGATGTATTGCGGTACATTCAGACAAAACTAGCGATTTTTTTAAACTGAATTTATTGTAGGAAAGTTCAATTAACAGTCCAAACGGATACTTAACATGTTCAACATGAGGTATCTGAACCATAATAGAGGGATTTACATTTTAATGGTGGAAACAAAACCTACCGCACACTGCTGCCATCTAGCGGCCGGCGTTTGAATTGCACCAAAAGAAAAGAAAATACACCAATGTTTGCATTTAAATTCTTCCAAAAATTAGATACACAGCTTTTTAATATTAATATCATATTGCAGGAAAAAACATCATGATATAGTTTCATATCGATATTTTCTTACATCCCTAGATGTAATCTACATAGATGTTTTTTATTTAGAAAATTACCGGAGGTTTTACACTGGCCCCATGTGTGATTTCCTGTCTAGCCTTATGTTAGCTGCAGATATTGATGCATCCCAGAAGCGGCTCGCTGCAAAAATAGGACCCAAACCTAGCTTTGGGATGCAGCTGAAATTATTCCACATTGCGGCTGGTTTAAATCACCCCTTAGACTATAATGGATTCTGTTTGCAGCAGTGACATTGCATTGCCGTTCTGCGCCGCTGATACTTCCAGTGTAAAGTAGGGGTTAGCTTCAGCTAGCAGTGACAATCTGCTGTTTCCTGGATGCTAAACCAACAACAGCCTTCCCCGTCGTCAGTGAAGATTGGTGAGTCAGTGAATGTTAAGCGACAGTGTGACGTTGATCTTTCAGGATTTTCTAATCCTAGAGTTTCTCCAACTGTTTAATATCAGAAGCTGATGCAGGAGATAGGTGTAATTAATCATTAAAAATGGGTTTTCAGTGTTTCGCACCTTTAACCTCAGACGTTTGGGTCATCACTAAACTGCTTAAAACTAATCAACCTATAGTATCTGTTATCAAAGTAGGAGTAGCCACGTTGGATTTCTGTTCTGGTCTGAGAGGACTCTGGTGTGTTCAGGTACAAGGGGCAGGCTCCGGACCTTCTGGGGAAGCAGGACAGTGTGTATGAAGGTAACTGATGATAGAAATGATGTGTTGTGGTGCGGTGAGTTTGTCTGGGTTGAAAGTTCTGTTGCTCTGCAGAGGACTGGGACATGCTAGATGTGGATGAAGATGAGAAGCTGACTGGGGAGGAGGAGTTTGAGCTCCTGGCTGGCCCGTTGGGTCTGAGCGAACGCAGGATCGTACCCGAGCCCGTTCAGTTCCCTGACAGTGACCCGCTGGGAGCCTCTGTTGCCATGGTAACTGCAACCAACAGCATGGAGGAGACCCTTCTGCAGATTGGTAACATGGTTTAGGTTTTTACATCTCTGACTTGAAACAAACTGATGTTATGGCAGCAGACTGAGTGTTAGTTGGTCTTCAGGCTGTCAGACCTCCGTGGATAAGAGCTCATCGGGTCGAGTCACCCTGGGGGAGCAGGCTGCCGCTCTACAGACCCCCCACGACCGGGTGATGGCACTCAGGAGGGTTACAGCTGCTGCACAGGTGTTGCTGGCCAGAACCATGGTGATGAGAGCGCTGTCCCTGCTGTCTGTCAGGTAAACACACACTCCAATGAAAATTGTGTTTTTTCTGTTTTTAACATTCAGGACATATCTAAACAAATGTTAGCTTAAAATAGCATTTGTTAATATTTCTGTATTCAAATTGTTGTGAATCAGCAGCAGATGAAATTTTCTGTGTAAAATTTTCTGGCTTTGTTACATCATAAAGCCACTGGGCGGAGCACAAACTCCACTAGTAGGGAAGTTTTACATGTTAAATGGATAGCTCAACTGGTAAGGCACCCTGACCATCACTCAGGGCACCTGGGTTCAAATCCAGGCTCAGCCATATGAGATATTAGCTCAAATGTCACTTACCGTATTTTCCCGACTATAAGTCACACTTTTTTTCATAGTCTGGCTGGTCCTGCCACTTATACTCCAGAGCGACTTGTATACCAAATTATGTATACCGTGCTGCTGCGGACCGGCTCCGGCCCAGGAATGAGCTCTCCCCACCCGCTGGGAGGGTTTGAAACACTGCCATCCTCTGCTGGAGACCGTGGTGCGCTGCTGCTCCCTGATTATTGTTGTTGTCGTCGTCGTCTTCCTCTGCTTATCCGGGTACGGATCGTGGGAGCAGCATCCCAACTTGGGAGCTCCAGACCGTCCTCTCCCCAGCCACCTCCACCAGCTCCTCCGGCAGGACCCCAAGGCGTTCCTGGACCAGATTGGAGATGTAACCTCTCCAACGTGTCCTGGGTCGACCCGGGGGCCTCCTGCTGGCAGGACATGCCCGAAACACCTCCCCAGGGAGGCGTCCAGGAGGCATCCTGACCAGATGCCCAAACCACCTCAACTGACTCCTTTCGATCCGGAGGAGCAGCGGTTCTACTCTGAGCCCCTCCCGAATGTCCGAGCTCCTCACCCTATCTCTAAGGCTGAGCCCGGCCACCCTACGGAGGAACCTCATTTCGGCCGCTTGTATCCGCGATCTCGTTCTTTCAGTCATTACCCAAAGCTCATGACCATAGGTGAGGATTGGGACGTAGCTCGACCGGTAAATCGAGAGCCTGGCTTGCTGGCTCAGCTCCCTCTTCACCACGACAATATGGTAATTATTTTATTTGAACAATAATACATATTAATGTGTGTGCTGTATTATTTTACAGTAATAAGATGGTCATTAAATGTCCAAATGAGACAAGCGGAAATATGTAGAATTCATGACCAGAAAAGACCCGCCTCTTCACCTCTGTTCGTCTCCCAGTTCAGCTTTCATTTTGGAACTATATTTCAATCATGACAGGACGTATATGTTATAAATATTATTTTATATTATAAATATATATTCAGGACGGGGCTTATACATATGTTAGTTAAAACAATGTAAAGCAGAGGTCACAACAGTGCCACAGCACCCGGCATGCCGCCTCCCCTGAACAGAACCGCACCATGTGTGGTTCGGGACTCGGTCCTGGGGAGAGGGCGAAGCTGGGTTCTGAGTAGGTCGCACACCCACGGGAACCCCCGAGTTCGCCTTATGCTGTGCCACCTTCACCTCCGTGCGTCTCCCAGCAGGTGGAGTGAAGGAGCTCAGAGCAGGTGGTTGACTTCTAAGCAACAAAAACTAAGGTCTATTTTTTACCCAGAATGAGCAAACACATTTCCTGATGATGATCTCAGTGGTCCGGATCGCTGCTTGGAAGTAATCCACCTGCTCTGCCTGCTGCTCTGAGCTTCTCCTTCACTCCACCTGTCCGATTCTGTCCCCCGCCTGCTGCACGGGCCGCTGCTTTGTCCTCTCTGACCGGCTTGTGTGCGAGCAAGCTCGGTCCAACTTTCTAAACTAAATTGAAGAAATCTGGCCCAGCCTGGATTTGAACCCGGGTCCCCTGTGTGCAAGTCAGGTGCCCTACTAGAGTGTCCCTGTCCTCGGCTCCGCCCACAACCCAGAGGCAAATTTTTAATGAGCTACTGCCACAATGTAAAAACCAAGTACTAGAAAAATGGCACAGGTTTTGTGATTTTAGAATCTTAGCTTAAAGACCACTGAGAACTATTTAAAACTGCTAAAAAAGATTATTAGAAACAACTAATGATCCAGGTTCTGCTTCTCTCCCTTACAGCGGCTCCAGCTGCAGCCTTGCTGCTGGTCTGGAGTCTCTGGGTCTGACAGACATCAGGACCCTGGTCAGGCTTATGTGTCTGGCAGCAGCGGGTCGAGCCGGGCTCTCCACCAGTCCGACAGCGGGTTCCGGTCACGCCGAAAGGCCCCGTGGTGCCACCAAGACCAGTAAACCCATCTCCTGCCTGGCTTACCTGAGCACAGCAGTGGGCTGCCTGGCATCAAACAGCCCCAACGCTGCCAAGCTGTTGGTGCAGCTCTGCACACAGGTACGGGTTCGACTCATTGGACCAGAACACCCCTTCATCCCTCTGAGTACAGCACAGCAAAAGGGAGAAAGTAGGAACATCTGATCCAGCCTGAGCGCTGACTCAGATGGTTTCTGGATCCTTATCAACAACCAAACAAGCTAACAGCTAGCTTATTTATGCTAAAGCTAAAAAATCATCTGCTGATTAACATCTTTTGGGTTTTTATCTCCGATGACAGAAGTGATGAATCTTTAATGTTTGAGATGTGGCGATCAGGTTCATGGAGCTGCTGCACCAATGGCTGTAAGAAAAGATGGACAAACCCCACCTTAGCTTTCTGTGGGGCCTTTTTGAAGCCAAACTGGTGGTTCCGATCACCGCCATCTTGGCTGTCACACATCTTGTCACACCCAGACAATCCTAAAATGGGAAAGAGACCCCACCATTGTCCCAGTTACAAGCTAACTGAAGAAAATAGATTTTGAGGAAAAACGTGGTTAAGCAACTAACTTGAATTAATCATCAATTCACAGACTTTCTGTGGTCTCCCTCAGAGAGCTACAAGCAAAGCCTCCGACCGCAGACCTCAGATTTGGGCTGCGTGACCCCACGCTCCGCTCCTCCGCTGAGGTCGGAGATCAGCAGAGGTGCAGCCACTGGGGCTGTGGCCGCGAGTCTCCCAGCCACACAACACGTTATATTTCACCCCATTTTGAACAAGCAGTGTTATGTTAAATGCACTTAATTTCTTCCCATTCAACCAGCAAAAAAAGTACAGCCATATAATTTTACTTGCTGATAAAAATGAGCAGAAACTACTTGGATGGTCTCTTAGTGCAGTCAATACCACAGCTTGCCATCTTGGTCCAATAATTCCATGATTAACATCAAAACACGAACACACAGAGAACACAACTAAAGTTCAGAGTCGAACATCTATTAACGTGAGGCCCAGGCTTTCCCCGGAGCTAGCTGCTGGCGCTAGCTCTGACGGCTCTTACTACCTGTCAATTAAATCGAATCATTCATAATTTCAAGCATTTAATTACACCTTAACGGAAGAGTTACAAAAAAATCCACCCCCTCTGAGTTGTCATGGCTGTAAACAAGATCTGTTAAACCTGAAGTGTTTTTTAACCAGGTAAATAGCCTGTATTTGGCCGTAAACATGTTTATTTCTGCTGTGAAGTTGGCATTTTTAACATGGGAGTCCGTGAGAATTGGATATTTTCTGGTGCCCGCCCCTAGAGGATGAGGGTGGAACTGCAATTTGTTTCACTTCCATATTGGCTTCAGAAATTTCAGTTTTACCTAATATTACTTTTCTTCCTTTAATAAGATGAATGTTTTATTATTAATTAGTTACTGGAGCTGGCTAATCGCTGGTCAGTTTAGTGACCAGCTGATTGCCCTGATCTGAGGTCTGCTGCTACAGGAGCTACAGGAACGGTCCGTTTATGGTGTGTTGAGCAGTTTGTTGTAGCAGAGCTACTGATGTAACCCCTAGAGTTAAAAATAATCAATTCTACGTTAGATCAGGAAGCTACTTCATTAATAAACGTTTACGAAAAATAAAAATTCTTTTTCTTGGTAAGAGACATAAAATCAGATAAAACAAGAAGAATAAAGTTAAATGTTACAAGCCATCTTCCCAAGCTAGCCTAATTCTTCAACAGATGTTAACGTCTCAGGGTTGACTTGTATTTCTATTTGCGTGGGCGTGACACCAGCCACTTTAAAATGCCTGCACTCTCTTGTAGGAGCTGATTAGCAATCACCACTAACAAACCTAGACTCTTATTCTGACAAAACCAACTTCATGCAGCTCAATGGAGACTCAGTTTACTCACAACACACCCTCAGTCCATGAAGCTTATGTACACTTCAGGTTAAGACTCATGCCAGCTGTTCCTTTTATGCTGAGGAGACAACTGACTTTACCTGTAGCCTAGGATGGAGGAAACCACTTATATGAATTATACCTAGGGATGGCATTTACAACCAGCATGTCACCTTTGCTTGGTTACCGACAGGAGGAGACCCCACTCGTAAATCCTTTTTTCTTTCCTCGAATCCGAGGAACTAGGTTTTATTTCACACAGATGAAAAAAGAATAATAATCCAAACGAAACCCCGACAAAGCGGGTTAAAATTTGAAACAACTCGTTGCCAGTAAACCGAGTTATAGCAAAGTTGAGCTGAATAAGCTCTCCAAAAATGACACTAGGTCAGATTATCACAGACAAAAAGCTCAAAGCAAAAGCTTCCTTCTTTCCATCTCTGTACCTCACACACTCTTCCCATCAAAAGGCCCTCTTCCAGACCCAGTAGCTCCTTTTTATTTACTGTCCCCCCTCCCTCACAGTCATTTCTTTGTTTGCTGCTTCAGACTTCCTGGTCACATGTTCCTCTTCTTGTTACTTCTCCAACGGCCCCAAAGAGACCATAAATCTTGGATTTCATGATGTCACCTTTTCTTCTCCCAGTCTTAATGGTCATCTCCAGCTCGTCAGCAGAGAGAGACGTGTGGTTACCCCTCCCTTTTCTTCTGCCCAGGATCAACTGGTCATCTCCAACATTAGCTGGACAAGATGTCTTATTTGTATGTTTATAGCATCTTGACCAACTCCACAGAGGATAAAAGATGACATAAATGCTTACTCCCAACATATGTTCAGGTCAAAACAGGTTATATCCACAACATGAATCGTTTGTCCATATCAGCAGAGTGAAGGCACATCATTAATTTACGACATCACAGTTCAGGCAGCTACTGCCAGGACACACACACATACACACACTCACACACACACACACACACACACACGAGAAGAGAAGGTAACAGGCCTTTAGCTTGGTTTCACACACACACACGGATACATCTTGTAAAGCCTAGAATTGATTTCACATAATGAGAGAAATAATCCAGACTTAATTCCATACATTAACAAGTCTGATTATGCTCCATACAACATTAAATAAACAGGAAACAAGTATTTTTAGCTGTTATTATTACTTGGTTTTATTCCATATTTATCTGATTTAATGTTACAGTTAGAATATCTTTTACACATGGCATCTAATTGTGTTGGCAGAAATCTGATGTTGCTGTCAACTAAAATAAAATAAACTTGTATCCGTTGCGTTATTAAACTCTCGGTTTTTCCCAGGTGTCGGGATGATCTCTACTGTCTGTGTTTCAGAACCTGATCTCTGCAGCTACGGGCATGAATCTGACCACCGTTGACGACCCCATCCAGAGGAAGTTCCTGCCCAGCTTCCTGCGTGGCGTGGCCGAGGAGAACAAACTCATCACGTCTCCTAACTTTGTGGTGACTCAGGCCCTGGTGGCGCTGCTGGCCGATAAGGGGGCGCGGCTGCGACCCGCTTACGACAAGGCTGACATGGAGAAAAGAGGTCTGTTCCTGTGGGACTTCCTGGGTTGTTTCATGTCAGGGTTCGTTTTCCTGATGTGTTCACGAGTCACTCCATCATCTCCTCATGAAGCCTTTTATGTCCGGGATCACTTCCTGTTTGTTTGGGTTTCTTGTGTTTTCATGTTTTTTGTTCTTCTCTTCCTCACTCACTGGTGTTCTTCACCTTGTGCCCCGTGTCGAGCAGGTCTAATTGCGCATTTGTATGCCCATCCTTCCCACAATCCCTCCGCTGTAGGCCCTCTGGAGCTGGCCAATGCTCTGGCGGCCTGCTGCCTATCGTCCAGGCTCTCCTCGCAGCACCGCCAGTGGGCGGCGCAGCAGCTAGTCCGCACACTGGCGGCACACGACCGCGACAACAACCATAGCCGTCCACAGACCTTCGCTGACATGGCGGGGGATCTGAGGAAGTGCTCCTTCATCAAGCTGGAGGCCCATCAGAGCAGGGTCTGTTCCTCCCTTACAGATTTATACTGAACCGGTGTTTGTGCCTCAAACTGAAGTTTTATCTTTGGTTTTTGTGAGATGCAGGTGATCACATGTGGTTGGTGCAGTAAGAAGGGCGTGCTGGTTACCAGTGGGAATGATGGGACCGTCAGGGTTTGGAACGTCACCAAGAACCAATATTCCCTCCAGCAGACCTGCGTCTTCAACAAGGAGTGAGTCTCCAGACCTGTTTATATGTTTAGACTGCTACAGGAAACCCTATGACCGCCGAGTTTAAAACTGCACGTTTTCACATGAAAACAGATTAAAAGAGATAGTTTGCAACTTGTTAATATTTTAAATCACCTTCTTGAGCCAATATGTGCTAAAATGACCCTTTACAGGGTTAATAAAAGGCCAACCTGCCCCTGTGGTCCCCTGTGGCCAGAATATTCCACTTGCAACTTCAAACTGGCGGGCCACTCTGTTCAGGTGCTCAGAAGAAAATGGAGCTGACATGCCTGACGCTGCAGTCTGGTTCCAGCATGTTTCCCGCATGTTTTAGATCTTGAACACAGCTGATTTGTTTAATTTAGTGATGAATCACTCCTGTAGACACTAAGGAAGGCAGGGGAGACGTTTCAGCTGATGGATTAAGGTGCTAAAAAAAACAAATGCACAGCGAGGAAATAGGTTTTTCTTTCGATTCTACAAATGGAGACTAAGGGGGGCTAAAAGCAAGCTAAAACTGCCTAGTTCCCCTTTAAGAGGTCATATTTAGAGTTGGATATTGTTGTGTCTGAGCAGAAGGATCAGCCTGTTAGGTTGGTTATCTGTGGTGTTTTTCACGTGATGCCTACCTATTGACCTACCAGATAAACACCTGCAGCTGATTCTGAGTCAGAAACATCAAAGAGGAGCTGCCTGCATAAGTGATCACATGTTGTCTCAGCTGATGGATGTCTGACTGAAGTTTTGATCTTTTGCCCTGTTTGTGTTTCTGTCCCCCAGCGACAGCTCTTCCGAGGAGGGGATGTCCGGTTTGGGATCCCCCAGCGATCCCTGCCTGTCTCCACTGGCCTGGAGCGTCACTGGGAAATATCTGGCTTCTGCCATGGAGAAACTGGTCAACATCTGGCAAGTTAATGGTAAACGTGTCTCTGGGCTCAGAGGCTTGATTCATCATCACTTCCTGTAAAACCACGCTCACTTCGGTCTTCATGTCTGGTTTCTGGACCAGGATTTTAGTTCTAATTTTGTTTACCGTCAGTGTGATAACCTGACCTTTGACCCCTGACCTCCTCCCTCAGGTGGTAAGGGGCTGCTCGATGTGCAGCCTCACTGGGTGTCAGCGCTGGCATGGCCCGAATGGGAGGCGGAGTCTCTATGGTGTGGTGAGCCCAAAGACATGCTGCTGGTGGGCCGGATGGATGGCTCCCTGGGTCTCATTGAGGTTCTGGATGCGACCAGTATGCACCGTACTGAGCTGGAGCACTGCTACAGGAAAGATGGTCTGGACTCCCACCTCTCTGTCAGCATGGTACTGGTGTCATAATGCTGACTATAACTGAACCTGTGTTCTGTTCCAGTGGCCGTGATGCACATCGCCTGGTATGGAGAGGACAAGCCTTTTGCTGTGGGCTACGCTGACGGAAAGCTGCTGATCGGATCCAAAGAGCCCCTAGAAACCGGAGCCGTAGTGGTTATCGATGCACACAAGGTGATCCGACCCAGCCCAGAAAACCCGACTCGCCTTCTATGGAGCTGAACTCCTCTGTCCGTTTTTCAGGAGCCCATCACCAGTATGAAGTGGAGTCCCACAGGTCAGATGTTACTGACGTGTGCTAAAGAGGAGACGGTGAAGCTGTGGGCCGGCCTGGACTGTGACTCAGGTCGTGGTTCTGACTGGTGCTGTCTGCAGAGTCTCCGACATCCTTCCCTGGTTAATGGAGCAGCCTGGTGCAGCCTGCCTGGGCGTGGCCCAAAGGCCCTCAGCATGTTTGCCATGTAGGTCTTTTATCGGTAAATCATCGGTACCGGGGCTGCAGTGCCGCCTCTTCCTGAATATTAGTAATTATAATAATAATAATACCACCACGGGTACTACTAATGATAACTAGAAAGTTCCTGATGTAACTTTGAGGTTCCAGCCACTTAAAGTCCAGCACCATAATTACTTGGTCAGATCTTCCTTCAACTCCATCAGCTTTTACCGCAGCAGCTGATTTCCCTCAAAGATGGCTGAGGTCTTGCCATTGCTGTTTATCTTTGGGATGAGGTAGCAGAGGGTTAGGGTTGCCAAGGTAACCAGGTTTAGGGCTACCATGAGCAACAGCAGGCTTTGATGGTCACCCATGTAAATTTAAGCATCTCTGCATTGGTTTTTGTGGACCACGTTTAGATCGGGCAGCAGTTGCTCAGGAGGGACAGCAGCTTGTCCAGTTAAAGTTGTAGGATCGATCCTGGCTCCCGGCAGAGAATGCTGCTATTGGGCAAGGCACCCACCTTGCCTGCTGGTGGTGGTCGGACCGGTGGCGCCAGTGCTCAGCAGCCTCTGTCGGCGCACCACAGGGCAGCTGTGGCTACAATGTAGCTCATCGCCATCAGTGTGTTGATGGATAAATGATGCACTGTAGTTTAAGGTGCTCTGGAGCAGGGCTGCTCAATTAATCAAACTTTAATCCCAATTACGATTTGAGTTTTGAACGATTATAAAAACAAAACAAGCTGTTTATTTGCTCCTCCCTCTTGCGCTGCTCTGAGTTGCAAATCAAGCGCTCCTCCCGCAGTGTTGCCAACATACTGACTTTGTCGCTATTTCTAACATCTTTTCAGACCCTCTTCTTGACTTTTTAAATCCTAAAAGTACCTCCAAAACGACCTAGAATCATCGCTGATAACCCTTAGCTACTTTTTGGATAACTCTGCAGGTTAGCAAAACACTCCGTCTGTGCTCCGGACCGTCCATCCGAACATTAAGAAAGGGAACGATGTGGTGATGTGTCGGTCACAAGAGAAACGGCTCTCAGTGCCTGCTTCCACGTGGATTAGCCAGAGTGAACGGCACACTGTACTCGGCTCCTGAGCCGCTAAAAACGGCAAACTGTGTAAAGACACACATAGCTTGCCCCTGAATGCTGTAAGACCGGGTTTAGGGGTTTCAGCGCACCTCCGATTTGATCGCTGTGCCTGGGACAATAATTACGTTAACTGAGAAATAAGTTAAAAATAGAATTAAGTTTCTCACTTTGATAAATATGAATTAATCTCTCTGACGACATGTTGCCACGCTCCTACAGCATTGCTGGACAGGACTAATTAATTGTTATGCAACATTCTGTGAGCTCCACTAAAACATTGTTTATATGTTTTTATTTGTTCTATATTATAAATGCACTGTATAACTCTTGCTGTCAGTATTTGCAAGATATCGGTTGGGTATTTGGGTCAGTATTGGGTACTCTTAAAGGGACATAATAGAAGTTTGACATCCAAAACATGTGTAGAAATAATAAATGTCTTCTTCATACATTCTCCTGCAATGCCCTGGTCCTGTAGAATGAGCCCTGGCATTTTTACTGTGATTGCCTGTTTTTCTGTAAAATCACAGAAAAAGAGAGCTGCTCGGGTCGGGCAGGCTGCTTCAGGCATAGCCCGTAGCATTTGCTATCCGTAGCTTTAGCAGCAGAGAGAGAGGTAGTGCCAACTTAGCGACTTTGTCGCTGTTCCTAACGCCTAGTGATGAACCTAGCTACATTTCTGAGGACCCTTAGCTAATTTCTGTAGAACTTTCTTCTAGATATTTTCTGCAAATTAGCAACAAAATAGCCATTTTTGCTCCGAACCGTTCTTTGAACATTGTTTCAGCTGTCATCAAGGATATAAAAGTTACAGAAACATTGAATGTTACTGGTGTGTAGCTCACCTTGTAAGATGTCTGACTCTCATGCAGAAGACCTGGGTTCGATTCTGGGTGTGAACATAGCTTATTTAGAGTTTCTTTTTTGCATTAATGGTATATTTTTTTACAGTAAGATGCCCAAATTTTTATTTGAGACTCTCTGAACGGCATTGAAATCACAGATAAAAAAGATGTTGGTTCAACTTTCATTTTGGAACAATTTTTCAAGCAAGGGAAGGGAATGATCTGAGCATGCAGGAGGACTGACCCATCATAAACATTTGTCGGCTGTGCTGAAGAGAAAGGTACAGAACCAAATTATTTCATTAATTAGCTGCACGTTCTCCTGTCCTCTGTCCCCCCCCCCCCCCCCCACACACACACACACACACACACAAGAGACTGTCTCAGCTGTTATTTTCGTTAAGGAGTGTGCACGTACAGCATGCGCGCCTCGTGCACGAGCCTACTATTGAAGCTGCCGTTACGCTTTTGGCCTGAGGGGGCAATCGCGAGCATAAAAATTCAAGAGTCCGTAAAGTCCCTTTAAATAATCAAGATCTCAGTTTCAGTCAAAATAATCGTGATTATCATTGTTGCCATAATCAAGCAGCCCTACTTTGGAGTCCTCGGACTATGAAAGGCGCTATACAATTGTGGGTCAGTTATCATTCTTTTCCTGTTTTGGAAGCAGAATCATCTCAGATCCTGAATGTAGTCCAGTGGAGGAGTGGACCAGTTGTCCAGATATTCATCTTAACAACAATGTTTAAAACATTTACACAAACACTTGAGATGAGCTGAAACATCTATTTATTCAGCTGTTTTGTCTCCAGGAATGAGTCCTGACCCGGTCCAGATGTAGAGCTGTTCTTGCTGAGTTGTTTTTTTTTTTGTTTTGTTTTTTTAAGATGCTGCCAGAATGGTCTCGTTTCTGTCTGGACCATTCCTCAAGAGATCTCCAACTTTCCAGAATCCTGTTCTTCTGACTCAGAGGGATTGTGGGAGAGTGAAGCCAAACCTCAGCTGATGGTAAATGTTTTAATCGGTAATAACAGCTGATTGCTCTCTCTGCTTTAAAGGTGTATTTCACTAGGATACCATTTTACTTATTTTGAAATTGATCAATCACTCTGAGTTTAAAATGCTGGCTGCATTAGCTTCTGATAGAAAATAGACGGTGAAGCTAACCGTAAACATTAGCAACTCCACCACACGGCAGAACTCCTTCAGGCTTGTGTTATTTATGGAGATCAAATATCAATACTGCAAGTCAGTGGTAGAGTCGCATTGCTGCTATTCAGTGTGAGGTGAGATGTCCAAATATCAGGACATAAGACGCCAAATCCTGCCGTCTGAAGCTACTTCCTCCTCTAGTTGAACTGTCTGAAATGGAGAGAAGGAGGTCTTTAATGTTTTATTTTATGCTTTTACACATCTGGATGACTAAAGTTCTGATCACGTGTGTCAGTCTTCCCAGTGGGCCGAGGACAGAGCTGTATGTGTTTTCCAGCTGAAGGGACACATCACTCCAGTACGAACACTGGCCTTCAGCCCTGATGGTCTGGTCCTAGCTTCTGGAGGGGTGGGAGGCCTCATGAACATCTGGTCTCTGCGGGTAAGACCCACATCTGGATGAATTACACATCCAGACGTGGTTTGTCTTCTTCACTTACTATTTGTGTCCACGTCCAACAGGACGGCTCCATCCTCCAGACAGTAGTCGCTGGTTCAGGAGCCATTCAGAACATAGTTTGGATACCAGATGTGGGCGTGGCTGTCTGTTCCAACAGGTCAAAGGTCAGACTCCTACCTCACTGTGTTTGTCTTCATCCTTTTAAATCATTTTTCTCCTCCATCTGATCTTCTCTCCTGATTTACAGGATGTTCTAGTTGTGAATTGCTCCAAAGAGTTTGTGGGGTCCAATCACGTTCTGGCCACCTGTCGCACTGCACTGAAGAAGCAGGGCGTGGTCGGTATCAACATGGCGCCGTGCATGAGAGCCTTCCTGGAGAGGTTGCCGGTTATGCTGCAGGAGCAGTACGCCTACGAGAAGGTAGGAGACCCCGGTCCAGAAATCAACCATATTGTGCAATAGTCATTTTCATGTACACCATCAGGAGTTCTGGAGACCTGATCCAGAACCAGGAAGACTGGATCAGTAGTTCTGACGCTCAAGCTGCTCTGGGGTTTTTTGGTGCCAGAGTAGGAAGTAAAACTCCACTCAGTTCTAGCCAAGCATGTTTGTTGCTGCATATGAAGAATTTTCATGAGAATAAACAAATCTAGAAACAATAAAAGTTCTTGTTTTGTCTTTAGTGGCCCTCTGATGTTACTCTGACCCCTCTCTCCTCAGCCTCATGTTGTGTGTGGCGAGCAGCTCGTCCACAGCCCCTACATGCAGTGCCTTGCTTCTCTGGCTGTGGGCCTCCACCTGGACCAGCTCCTTTGTTGCCCCCCCGTTCCCCCTCACCTCCGACTCTGTCCGCCAGAGTCCGGCTCCACCATCTGGAGTGCCAGTGAGTGGGCGTGGCTGGACTGCTTCTCCACTACAGTCAAGGCAGCCGAGGCTCTCGCCCGAGGAGCCACCTTCCCTGAGTCCTTCTGTGTTCCGGACCTGGAGCCGGCCCTTAAAGAGGAGATGATTCTGGTCATGGTGAGGGAGGTTGATGACCGTATGGTACCGTTCTGCCGCGTAGCTCCTGACGATGTTTCTATTTCTGTTTCCAGGACAACAGTAAATGGGCGGCTGGTATGGATGAACAGATCATGTCCTGGGCCACCTCCAAACCTGAGGTGAATTCAGACCTGCTTCAGGTGAGTTCTGCTGACTGACCGCCATCACTCACCTGTTTTGTGTTTGCAGGACTGGCACTTGGGAGGGAAGTGTGACGTTTTCCTGTGGGGTGCAGGGCGTCACGGTCAGCTGGCAGAGGCTGGTAGAAACATCCTGATACCAACAACCGCCCCGTCTTTCTCCCAGGCCCAACAGGTACATCTAAACGCAGACATCTGGAGATGTTGTGTTAGGAGCATTATTGTGCCATTGTTGTAACCTATTGGACTTTCCGGCAGGTTGTTTGCGGTCAGAACTGCACCTTTGTGATCCAGCCCAACGGGACGGTGTTGGCCTGTGGGGAAGGAAGCTACGGCCGTTTGGGTCAGGGCAACTCAGACGACCTGCACGTCCTCACCATCATCTCAGCCCTGCAAGGTTAGACCCTAACCTCTGGAGAAGATTACGGTGTCCTCAGATTTTTCAGTGGTAGCTGTATCTCATATTTATGACAGATTATCCAGATTCCCCAAAGACTCCTGAAGCTCCCGTTTCCCAGCATGAGCTTCAGAAAATCGTTCACTACTAAGAATCCGAGTAGTCTCAGAACTGCTTCTGTTTAGCCTCTGAATAAAGAGAGAAAAGTGGAACCAAAATGGGAATAAATATCCCAACATGACCTGGCCAGGTACAGAACCTGTTGAGAACGCTTATGAACCAGTTCAGCATTGTTTCCATTGGAAGTTTTCAGATTTCTGCATCATTTTATATGGTTGATGGTCTAGTCTAAAGATGAAGTTTAGTGTTTTTACTTGTTATATTGGAAATATGTTCAATCGCTCTTGAGTTTCACATGCAGGCTGAACGTAAAAATAGTCTTCTCTCTTATTTCCTGCTTTAGCTGTCGTTAGCAAAAAGACAGGGAAGCGCTGAAATGAGAAAAGTTTGTGACATTAACACGTCATAATGTCAAGTTAGCATTCGTGGACATCTTGGCTGTCGCTAATTTAGCATCCAGAAGAGATCAGAGCACGTCTCAGGTAATAGAAGCAAATCATCAGCAACTCCACAACACTGCACTTCAGGCTTGTTATTTGTGGAGATAAAACACCAACGTTAAAGAACAAATGGAGTCGGTGTGGTTGAGTTGAGTTGCTGTTAGCTTATATCAGGAAATATTTTAGTTTAGTTTAGTTTATTTGTCATATGCAAGTTAGCACAGGGTCAACATTGCAATGAAATGTGTTTGACGAGCAGCGGTCTCTCAGCAGCATAATACAATAGAAAAAAAAGAACAAGGTATAATACAGTAAAAGCAAAATATTAGAGAGTCATGCTAAAAGTAAAAGCTTACTAAATAGATAAGTAAGTATAGATGACTAAATATAAATATATCTAAAAAAAGTGAGTAGTAACATTAAAATGAAGTAACCAGTGCAGATTAAATTTTGCTTGTGGAGCTGCAGGGTAACATCTGTATCCTGTGTTGTGTGTGTTTAAGTGTAATGGTTGAGGTGTCGTATGGCTTGGTGGTAGAAACTGTTTTTAAGTCTCGCAGTCCGAGCAGGCAGACAGACTCCTGTAACGCCTGCCAGATGGTAATGAGGAGAACAGCTGATGCGCTGGGTGGCTGTGGTCCTTGATGATGCTGTGTGCTTTCCGGAGGCATCGCTGGAGATAAATGTCCTGAATGGCAGGAAGCCTTGTGCCAGTGATGTGCTCTGCTGCTTTCACCACCCTCTGTAGTGATTTACGGCTGCTGGCAGAGCTTCCATACTTCCATACAAATATGACTCCAGATCCTGCTGTCTTTGCTCAGCTCAGCTGTGGCTCATTTTTAGCTCCAGAAACAGGAACGCAAGAGATTTTTTTATCCACAGAGATCGACCCGCTGCAAGTGTGTTGAGTGAACTTGGTCTTTAACATCAGGAAGTGACTCAGGTATTTAATTGGACTAACAGGAGCCTGTAACCTGCTGCAGTCTCTGCAGAAGCTTCTCATTCCTTCTGCTATGAGCTTCTGTTTGATGCAGATGTTTTTTTACGTTCTGTTGAGTCGGACCCAGACCTTGTGATTCTGTGGTCCGTTTCAGGTTTTGTTGTGACTCAGCTGGTGACGTCATGCGGCAGCGATGGCCACTCAATGGCCCTGACGGAGAGTGGCGAGGTGTTCAGCTGGGGAGATGGAGACTACGGCAAACTGGGACACGGAAACAGCGACCGCCAGCGCCGACCGCGGCAGATTGAGGCTCTGCAGGGAGAGGAGGTGGTGCAGGTGGGTTTGTCTGAACTGTATGGCGCGGTATGGGGTCCAAAACTAAGACTACTGCCCAGCAGCAGGAGGCTATATAAATTCTGAAACAAACTACCGACCTGATTAATGATAAGCTGGCGCCGGTAACTGAGAGGCTAGCCTCTCCAATGCTAACACCAGCTCTTCCAGGCTAACGCTAGCCTATCCATGCTAATAGACAGCAGAGGGAGTGTTTGAACCAGTCAATGACCAGCCGAGGTCTGCTAGTCCCTAGCGTATCTAGTAGTAACACCGGTAAAGGTGCTATTCCTCAGTAAGCAGCACCAGCCTCTCAGTTACGGGCGTCAGCTTCTCATTAATCAGGTCGGTAGTTTGCTTCAGAATTTATATAGCCTCCTGCTGCTGGGCAGTAGTCTTAATTTTGGCCCCCATACCGTGCCATACGTGGATACTCGCTCCACCAAGACCAGTTCTCCTCAGACGGAGAACTCTTTGATCTCTGTCCAGATGTCTTGTGGGTTCAAGCATTCTGCGGTCGTAACGGCTGATGGAAAACTTTTCACGTTTGGTAACGGGGATTATGGCCGCCTGGGTCTGGGAAACACGTCCAACAAGAAGCTTCCAGAGAAGGTCACTGCGCTGGAGGGCTACCAAGTTGGACAGGTGTGGGTTCTGTGGGTACAGTAAAATTAGATAAAGTTCAGAAGTGAGCAGAGCTCACAATGCCGGCTGCTTCTCTTCAGGTGGCCTGCGGGTTGAACCACACGTTAGTGGTCTCCACTGACGGAATGGTGGTTTGGGCCTTTGGAGATGGAGACTATGGAAAACTGGGACTGGGGAACTCCACGGCCAAATCTTCTCCTCAGAAAGTGGATGTTCTGTGTGGGATCGGCATCAAGAAGGTGGCCTGTGGGACTCAGTTTTCTGTGGCTTTGACTAAAGATGGCAAAGTTTACACATTTGGCCAAGGTGAGTTCCTCCAAGCTTCAAGTTCCAGGATCTGTTGAAACAGAAGTTTAAGACGATTTACATTACCATACCATATCGTACCACGGACTTCTCTTCCTGTACTATATGTAAGGTGCTTTGGTCAGCTCTCATACTGTTTGGAAATGTGCTTGATAACAAAACAACAACAAAATATTTCATTCAAGGGTTATGGTTAGTTAGGACTGTTCTGTTCTGGCCCCGCTGGACCTGACTGTAGCCGTTGAGACTGGATAGGCCAGGTGTCGGCAACCCGCGGCTCCCTGTGCTTGTCAAATAATGAATGAATATTTAATTAAAATGTATTTTATTTTACTGCATTCATTTTTTATCTGTATGCCAATTCTAAATGTAAAGATTGTCCGCGTACAGTGATCCCTCGCTACTTCACGGTTCGTTTATCGCGGATTCACGACTTCGCGGATTTTTCTTTGGAGCCTTATTCAAGGGAAATTCGCCAATTCGCGGTATTTTTCACCGATTCGCTGTATTTTTCTATGCGAAATACCAAGAAATTCCTGTTTTTTTCATCAATTTCATCATAAAATGCACTTTTTGTAATAAAACTATAAAAAAAACAAGTAAAACATTTTTTTTCTTGAGTTTTACCCACAAAAAAAGAATGTGATCATACGATAATTCAGTATAGTACTGTATGTCAGACTGGTCGGCTGGATTCGGGAGTTGAGCTTGTAGGGAGCGTGGTTTCACAGACGCGGAAGTGAGAGCGTCGGTGAAACGCCGGCTCACGATTTAATCTAGGAAACCCCCGAGCGTTCGAGCGTCAACGAAGTGACACGGAAATGCCGGGCTTTCCAGAAGTAAGTAAGATAACTTACTATGAGCTAATAGATCATGAATATGAAGAAACGATGACTGAGTGGTGAGCTGGAAAGGCGACTTCCGTTCATAGCCGCGGTTTGTGACGTAGGTGCGACGTGGAGGGAATCCCCGCGAGGGGCATGCTGGGAGTTGTGGTCCATAGTGGAGGCCGGCTAGCTGGAAGAGGCTGGCCTGGGAACTTGGGTTCTGACACTGTACTGTAAATATGGTGTCCCTACTTCGCGGATTTTCACCTATCGCGGCCAGGTCTGGAACGCATCTACCGCGATAAACGAGGGATCACTGTAAATCTGAACAGGTGCTCGACAGGTCACCTGCTTGTGTGTAATCAGATGTCTCTATAGGCGCTTTCTGTGCTGAAGAGGATGTGAGACTCTGGACTTTTCCTCAGACAGGCTGATGGATGCGTCGCCACATTGGAGACAGGAACAAGCGTTATTCAGCCAAAGTTTCATAATCGGGGAACATTTTCTAAGTGACAAGTCTCTCTGAGAGACAGGGTTTGGGAAGCACTCGCTTCAGTGAGAGGAATCGTCCCTCATGCGCTCCGATTCTGCGATGCGTTCCAAGCCTCGATCTCCACATCTTCAGCTCTCTGTCCACCTTACGTGCTCGCTGACAGAGAGCTGCGATGAGCAGTGTCCAGCTCAGATGTTCTGATGGGAATCTTTTCCTGATTGATTTAGCTACCTCAGCGAAGTGCGTAACATTTGAAATGTCGGGTAAACGGTCAAATACAGGAAATATCCGGTCAAGGCAAACCCTGCCATTGAACTGTTTTGTTTACCTTTGAAGATTTATCGCAAAGAGAAAAAACTAAACTTGATAAACACCTGAGCCATTATCTTCATATTAGTGAGGGGAAAAAAACAAATTGATCTGATCCTTTTTTGCCTTTTCAGCATTGTTTAATGTAAAGTTTTATTTTGTACAAAGTTTATTACAACAATCCAACGAGACAGCCTGGATTTGTATTCTGAACAGTTTAAACACGTTTTAAAAGGAGATGTGTGTGAGACGCGTCAAAAAAGCAGCTCCTGCTCAACTATTAAAACCACCAACAGGGTGAAAAATATCTAAATATTGCAGCACAGACGGGCTAAAACTTCTGGATCAATTTTATACAAATTGTTTTATTAATTCTGTTGAAATATAACTTTGACGTACATGAGCAACCGGTGTCGGTACAGGATCGGCTCGGGGCCCTTCGACTGCTGATGACGTCAGAGTAGTTGATTGGCTGAACATGAAGCTTACGGAAGTTGCATTATCACGTTATGATTTTGATTGGTCAGAACAAATTTGCGGTCGTAGTCTTAGCGGTTGTAGTCCTGTAGTCCAAAAATCAACACTTTTTGGAGAAAATATGTTTGAATTTCTAAAGGAAATGTAAAATATAAGCAAATGATAAACGGTGGTCCTCAAAAGCTCTTGATGTTGATAAAATGGGGCAAAATAAAATATTAGACCTTTATTGAAAGACACCAAGCAACATTTTGAGTCAAACAATGTATTTAGATAATGACTAAGGAAATATACAGACGAACTCCACATTAATACTAACAGATGTGGCTTCACATATAAGAACTTTTCTATTGTTTGTCAGTCCGATGGTTTTATGCAGTTTCACATTCTTTACAAAACAAAGATAATATGGTGTTTTATTAACAAATTACAATTATAAAGAAAACATTTAGGTGTTAACAAACAAGAATTTATTACCAAAACTGCTGATGTCTTTCCAAAACATGTGTGGAAGCCGAGTAGATTTGCAGTAATGTGACGTCATCGGCAGTCGAAGGACCCCGAGCCGATCCTGGACCGACACCGGTATTGGTTGTTGTCACCTGATTGGTTAAAGCAGCTCTCGGCTGTCTTAGGGTGGAGTGGGCCCGACCCACAACGCCGCGGCTGCTGCAGCTCTCAGTGTTTTCTTCACTGTGGGAAACGGGTAATAATAAATCTTTGATGGGAAAAGGTTGCCAACCCCTGGGAGAGGCTCAGAGACTGGGTAGGCCTATCAGGAACATCATTGGAGTGGTTCTCCTCTTTGAACATCTTAGGTGTGTTCTTGCTGTGTCGTATCTCTAATTCCATGCTGTAGTTCTTTTTTCTAAAACACAGAGCAGGTTTGTTTACCTGTTATCCCGCTACGTTTAGTTTGTGGCTGCAAACTTCTTCAGGCTGACGCTGATGGTGGCGTCACTTCCTTCTCCGTTTACTCGTTGGACCACGCATGGGACTGCATCGTCGGAGAGGGGAGAGCGGGCAGCAGAGGGCGACAACGTCCTCTGCTGCCCGCCGATAAACGGAGAAGGAAGTGACGCCACCATCAGCGTCAGCCTGAGGAAGTTTGCAACCGCAAACGAAACGTAGCGGGAAAACGGGCAAACAAAGCTGCTCTGTGTTTTAGAACAAGAACTACAGCATGGTTCTCCTCTTATCTGTCTGAGCGTTCCTTCTCTGTGGCCGTCTCCCAAGTTTAGGTCCTCCACCACCTCTTTTACCCATGGTGTCCCACAAGATTCTGTGCTGGGGCTTCTACTCTTCCTCTTCTGCTTCCTCTTCAGCACATCCTGAGCTCGTTTAAAGGAATCTCCTACCATCTTTATGCAGATGACATCCAACTGTACATCTCCTTCAAGCCCCATGAGATGTCTAAGCTGCAGCTGTTACACACCTGCTTAGACTCTATTAAAACCTGGATGGCTGGGAGCTTTCTTCAGCTGAATGAAGATAAGACTGAGATCCTCATCTGTGCCCCAGACAAGCTGGTTCCCAAAGTCAGAGACTCTGTTGGTCAACTTGCTTCTCACACCAAACCTTCTGTCAGGAATCTTGGTGTGACCTTTGACCCAGCTCTCACCCTGGATTCTCATGTCAGTTCTCTTGTTCGCTCTTCCTTCTTCCATCTCAGGAACATTGCTAAGCTGAGTCTCATTCTGTCTCGCTCTGAACTTGAGACTGTTCTCCACACCTTCATCTCCTCACGCTTAGACTACTGTAACTCTCTTTTCACGTGTGGTGGTTCAGAACACCTGCGCTCAGCTTCTGACCAGAACACACCCACACCAGGGGCGACGGTGGCACAGGAGTTAAGTGCTCGCCCCGTAACCAGAAGTCTGTCGCTGTCGTTGTGTCCTTGAGCAAGACACTTAACCCACGTTGCCTGCTGGTGGTGATCGGAGGGACCGGTGGCGCCAGTGCTCGGCAGCCTCGCCTCTGTCAGTGCGCCCCGGGGAAGCTGTGGCTACATCGTAGCTCATCACCAACAGCATGTGCATGTGTGTGTGACCGGGTGAATGACTGATTGTGTTGTAAAGCGCCTTGGGGGGTTCCAGGACTCTAGAGGGCGCTATATCAAATACAGGCCATTTACCATTTTTTTATTACAATATATATTTTTTCAAATTCTTTTTAATCATGTTTTGTTTTTGTGAAGCTCCTCGTGATTTTTATCTTGAGAGGCGCTAAATAAAAGTTTGTTTTCTTTCTTTCTTTCTTTCTTTGTTTTTCTGCCGTTGGTCCAAATATTCATGTTTTGAATGGCACACATATTACTTTTCAGATGTCTAAAAACATCTGACAGGTGCAGTTTTAAGCAATAAACTCCCTGATTGGGTTCTGGTTGTTTTATTAAAGACCGTCTGATTGGCCTGCCAGAAGGCCGGGCCCGGAACCACAACAGACCCCAGCCGGTACCGGTGCTGTCTGGGACCCACATCCAGGATGTTGCTGTTGGAGCTGAACACACCTTGGTACTGTCCTCAACAGGAGATGTTTACACCTGGGGCAGTAACTCAGAGGGACAGGTAACCTTTGACCTCAGCGCACACACAGATTAAGCCCACCTCTTGAATAACCCTCTGGTTCTGAACTCTGTGTAGCTGGGCTTGGGCCACACCAACCATGTAAGAGAACCCACGCTGGTGACGGCGCTTCAGTGTAAAAACATCAACCAGATCTCTGCTGGACGCTGCCACAGCGCTGCCTGGACAGCACCATGTGTACCGCCTCGAGCACCAGGTCAGTCACACACCTAAAGGTCAGATCCAGACCCTTTTTGACCTGGTTCTGGACCAGGAGTTCTCAAAACTAGGTTTTATGTAGACTTTTGGCTGATTTGTATTGTGTGTACCCAAACAGTGGATTCTTTTTAACTTTGAACCATTCGACAGAAAAGGCTCCACAACTCGAGGGACGAGCCAACTGAGTCACAGAACAGAATCAGTTTTAAGCTGAATCTTTATGCCCATCAGACTTTTTGAAGCTACTGACGGAAAGGCTTCTGTCTACTAGGCCGGTTATGTCCAATCATGTTTTGTTTTTAAACCCAAATGAACTGTTAACAAAACTACCGTCACTTTTAGCTGATAATCATCACCCATCATCCATGGTCCTGTCCTCAGGCTCGTCGGTTCCCCTCCAGCTGGGCCTACCGGCGGCGGTTCCGCCTCAGTACAGCGGACTGAAGGAGGTGAGCATGGAAGCGGTGAGGGCCCGTCTGCGTCTCCTCTACTACTTCTCGGACCTCATGTATTCATCATGGAGGCTCCTGAACCTCAGCCCAAACAACCAGGTGAGAACAGAACCGCTAGAAACATGTGGAGATGCTACAGGTCACACAACCTTTCTGTCATAGAGGCATTAAGAAACTCTTGCTGAAATATTTTTCCTGATGGTTCTTATCTGCAGAGCTGCACCTCCCACTACAACGCGGGGACGTGGGGGATAGTTCAGGGCCAACTCAGGCCCCTGTTGGCCCCCAGAGTTTACACGCTGCCCATGGTCCGCTCCATCGGGAAGACCATGGTTCAGGGAAAGAACTATGGACCTCAGATCACCGTCAAACGGATCTCCACACGGTCAGTGGGTCTTTTTTATTTATATGGGTTCTAGGGTTGGGCGATGGGACAAATGAATCGACCATCGACAGTGATGTGTTTGGCTGTGAGCAGGTTTGTTAATGACTGAAGCTTGGTTTATGCTCGACGCGTCCGCGAGGTTCGCACGGCTCTGCGCGTCAAAATTGCGTCATTTTAACAACCACGCCCCTCCCTCCGCATGGCCCAAACTTTCCGCACCGCGCACCTAGGAAATTTTCTAACCACGCGGACGGTCGGACGCGGAAAAACATGATTCAGCTCTCAGAGATCACTGTGATCAACATGTTGTTAATAATTCTTGGAGAGAAATAGCTCGCACTGTCAGAAAAGACGAGGACGCTGTTAAAAATGCTGGAATGCCACGTTGTAAACAGTAATTTCTACTTCTACTATGGTGTAGTGTTGGATGCATGCCGTAGAGCTCCATGCTGCCCCCTACAGTTTGGGAGAATATTGGCTCACCACAGAGACGAGCTGCATGAACCATAAACGCTGCGAGTTGTGAAGCGCGTTCCATCCGCGAGCTGCATCACCGCGCGGAAAGTGAATGCATCGAGCATAAACCAAGCTTTATGCAGGTGTGCATTATCTCACACTTTCTCCGCATCTCGCTGCTGGCAGTGTGCGCAAGCGGCACTCGACATTGCTCTTGTGCACAAAGTCGAGTGAAAAGTGGAGACCCTTCTATCTTTCAGAGAGTCTGGTAGACTTCTGGTTTATGGTTTCATTTCATTTGGAGAAACGTTTCCTGATTTTAAAACTTCGGCTGAAGTTGCGATCATTATTCGTCAACCGCTTCGTGTCCAGTCCCCACTCCATCAGCGGAGTGTGGATTCATTCAGAACAACTTTAGAAGATCCATGAGTCTGTCTGAGGCAAAGGTCTAGACCAGGGATATTCAGCACGTTTTATTTTCAACCCTGCTTCAGCACACCTGCTTTCAGTCAGCAGGTGATTAACAGGCTTCTGCAGAGCCTGATGAGCAGCTCCACAGTTGATTCAACCACTGAATCAAGTGTGTTGGAGCAGAGGAACAACTAAAATGTGCTAGACACCGGCCCTTCACAACCAGAATTGAATACCCCTGGGGCCTCGTTTATCAAACGTTCGTAGAAACTGTCCTATATTCTGTCCTACATGCGTTCTTCCGCAGTCGTCTGATGATAAATCCCACCTGTGCATACTCAGGTGCTCGTGTCCATTCGCCATCATGTACATACAGAAACCCTCAGTTAACCATATTTGGTCATGCACACAAGAGGGGATTCCCTGTTTTTTCCCTGAAAAAAAGAAAACTTTATTGACAGCAAGATCAAAACACAGGCTGCTGACGTGCAAAAGAACCACAAAAGTTGCAGAGGTTATAAACGTGGTCAGGACAGAGGAGAGGTTCTTGTCAGGAATAAATAGAAAAGATCGTGGAGTAACGGGTTGTTAAGGAGTCGTTCTGTGTGGAGTTAGTTTTATTTGGAAATGTCGACTGAGAGCGCAGCCTCTTCTGAGCTGCCATTCACTCTGGTTGCGTGTATGATCGGGGAGCAGAGGAGGTTCTGAGGGTTCTTGTTGTAGTAAATTAAAATGTGAACTGGAATCGGATTTGTGAGGTTTATCTGTTGCTCTACAAAGGGTCCCAAATCACAGCGTAGCAGGAGGATTTCCTTAGAGATCAGTGCGCTCACGCAGAATGCGTTCCCTCCAGAGCGCTCGCTCTGGTAAATCCTCCATTAACAGAACAGCCATGATAAAATGTCAGATTGCCGTCGGTCACCGCTGTCTTTTATTGGTTTTAGCATCAATAGTATGAAAAAGCCGTTTTTCCACTGACAAAATTACAGACTGGATAAATACAATTTGTGGATGAGCAACACATTTGGGTGACTGAGACCTTTAGAATTGCGCTTCCCCGTTCTGCCACTAGAGGCCGTGTGTACGCACGGTCAGAGGTGTTCTTACATTTAGGAACGTTTCTCTGCACAAGTACAAAATGAAAAGTACCACTCAATGCGTAGAATTGTTCCTACGCACGAAATACGCACAGATCTGTGCGTAAGTATGTTTGATAAATGAGGCTCCTGGTCTAGAACCTCGTGACTAGAGCCTCCTCAGCAAGGTGCCTAGAGACATTTGATCCTGCACAAGCAGGTGGCCAGTTCAGGTTTCCACGGAGCAGAAGGAATGTGCGTTCGGGCCGCAGCAGGTGAAATGTTCCCGATCTAAGCGTAACGGCTTAATTGCATTGTTTATATGTTACTGGGGCATTTTGACGCAGCTTGTTTAGACGAAAAATAATTAAAATGAATGGAAACTCAATGGTATTAAACAACTTCTCTTCCATCTTTTTCTCTGTGAACTCTGGTTTTGTGAAGAGGGAGAAAATGCAAACCAATCTTCATGCAGATTGCGCGGCAAGTGGTGAAGCTTAATGCCTCGGACCTCCGGCTACCGTCCAGAGCCTGGAAGGTCAAACTGGTGGGGGAGGGGGCCGACGACGCTGGGGGTGTGTTTGATGACACCATCACTGAGATGTGTCAGGTATGTACCCGTCTGAGCTGGATTCAGACTAGTTCCAGATGTTTCCAGCTGCTGATGGTGTGGATGTTCTGTAGGAGCTGGAGACAGGTGTGGTGGACCTGCTCATCCCGTCCCCAAATGCCACAGCAGAGGTGGGCTACAACAGAGACAGGTGAGGAGTTTAAACACAAGCTGACAGAAAATCCCGCGCTCTCTGAACTCATCTCATCTTCTGTGGTCTTCCAGGTTCCTGTTCAGCCCCTCTGCCTGCCTAGATGAGCACATGCTCCAGTTCAAGTTCCTGGGTATCCTGATGGGCGTGGCCATCCGTACCAAGAAGCCCCTGGACCTGCACCTGGCTCCGCTTGTCTGGAAACAGCTGTGTTGCATCCCGCTGCAGCTGGAGGACCTGGAGGAGGTGGACCTGCTCTACGTGCAGACGCTCAAAAGCATTCTTCACATTGAAGACAGCGGCATCACAGAGGACAATTTCCATGAGGTAAGAAATCAGCTTCCTGTTTTATTATGGATAAAAAAAACTCATCAATAATGCCACATGTGTTACACCAAACTAAATTCAGAACCTTTTCTTCCCCGATAGCAGGTCTCAGTTCAATTATACGTTCCCCTTTAACATCAAAGAGCGTCAAAACATTAAAGTTAATAAAACAAGCTCGTGTACTGTAGGGAGACAGTTTATCACAGGCCCACACACACCAGCTGAGGATGTCAGCAGAAGGTTAAAGCTGTGTTCGTTGTTTCAGATGATTCCTCTGGATTCCTTTGTTGGGCAAAGCGCTGACGGGAAAATGGTGCCAATCATCCCAGGAGGAAACAGCATTCCTCTCACCTTCTCTAACAGGAAGGAATATGTGGAACGAGCTATCGAGTACAGGCTGCATGAAATCGACCGCCAGGTGAGCAGAGACCTCCAGATCTTCAGCAGGAGCCTAACCAGGAACAAAGAAACAGCATTTAATTTAATTGCTTTTATTACGGTGCGATTGGACTACTGCAACTCTGTACTATTCGGTGTGAGCAAGGGCTCAATAGCCAGGTTGCAAATGGTGCAGAATGCTACTGCCAGATTTTTAGCGGGCAGGCGCAAGTTTGACCACATAACTCCTGTCCTGGCTGCGCTTCACTGGCTGCCCGTTGATGTTAGGATTCATTTTAAAATACTTTTACTAGTTTTTTAAACGTTAAATAGTTTAGCCCCTCCTTACTTGGTGTCACTACTTCAACCATACACTCCTTCACGCTCACTCCGCTCGGAGAACTTCATGCTCCTCTCGGTCCCAAGAACGCGCCTAAAGACGCGTGGTGATAGAGCTTTTGCTGTGGCAGGTCCTAAGCTTTGGAATAAGATTCCTCTCAGCATAAGGGCCTCCACCTCTGTTGCGGTTTTTAAGGCAAGGCTAAAAACATATTTTTTATGACCTGTCTTTTAACCTCTCTAACTAGTTTTATTGTTTTACTTATAGCGATTTTACTCACTGTAGTTTTATCTGTATCGTGTGATACAATGTTTTATTTTCTGGACTTACTTTTTTATGTTTTTATTTGATCAGTGTAGCGCCTTCGTGACATATTTTTGCCTGTAAGGCGCGATTTATAAATAAAGTTGAGTTGAGTTTAATGGAACTTCTGCTTTCACCTCTCTCTCTGTCAGGTGGCGGCTGTCCGTGAGGGCATGTCATGGATCGTTCCGGTTCCACTCTTGTCGCTGCTGACGGCCAAACAGTTGGAGCAGATGGTGTGCGGCATGCCAGAGATCTGCTGCAACGTTCTGAAGAAGGTGGTCCGGTACCGTGAGGTGGACGAGCAGCACTCTCTGGTCCAGTGGTTCTGGCAGACCCTGGAAGAGTTCTCCAACGAGGAGCGGGTGCTTTTCTTGCGCTTCGTCTCTGGACGTTCGCGCCTTCCTGCCAACACGGCCGACATCTCTCAGAGGTTTCAGATCATGAAGGTGGATCGTGTAAGTGACCGGAACCAAAACCAGCCCAGAATCAGAATCGGGGTTTTATTGCCACATGTGTGAGAATCACAACATTGGGACATTGCAGCGGTGCTTTATGCAAAGAGGAAGATAAAAATAAAGAGATGAGGAAATATAGGAAGTAAGAATATAATCACGATAAAAATAATAATAGAAAGCTGCTATATACAAGACAGTGTAGGTACTGATCAGAGCAGATCAGTTCAGGTACAAACACAACACCGGGTCATGTGACTGGAACCAAGCGACTGGAGTGGGCAGCCTTAGGATTGTTGTTCATGAGTCCAACAGCAGAGGGGAGGGTTCTGGAACCTGCAACCCTCAACATCCTGGAGGTGTACAGGTCCTGTACGGAGGGGAGTTTGCAGCCAATGACCTTCTTAGCAGAGCGCACAACACGCTGCAGCTTCTTCTTGTGTCTGATGGTAGCTCCAGCGTACCACACGGTGACTGAAGAGGTGAGGATGGACTCGATGACTGCGGTGTAGAACTGCCTCATCGACTGTGCTGGCAGGTTCAGTGTCTTCAGAAAGTACATCCTCTGCTGGTGCTTCCTAAAATCCACAACAACCTCCGCTGTCTTCTGGGTGTTTAGCACCAGGTTGTTGTGGCTGCACCAGGACACCAGCTGTTTGACCTCTAATCTGTACGCAGACTCATCCCCATCAGAGATGAGTCCGATGACGGTGGTGTCGTCTGCACACTTGATAAGCTTGACAGACTCGTGGTTGGAGGTGCAGATGTTGGTGTACAGCGAGAAGAGCAGAGGGGAGGGAACATGAGGGGAACCGGTACTGATGGTTCGTAGGTCTGAAAGATTCATCCCCAGCCTGACTTGTTGCTTCCTGTTCATCAGGAAGTCAGCGATCCACCTGCAGGTAACCAATGTCTCTATTGGGTCTGGATGAGGTGTGAGACTTGCCTGATGGCTCATCAAACCGTTAAGTTACGCATATAACTACTGTTCCCTGAAGGAGAGGAACGAGGTACAACACAAATAGTAAGGGATGTCACGCTCGTGCGATCTGACTGAAGACACCTCTAATCACGCCTTTAGGCCACACGATGTGAGACGTAGGGGGTAGGGTCCATCTGCTCATAAATATGTTTATGTATTTAGCAGACGCTTTTGTCCAAAACGACTTACAAGTGATAATCGGCATGTTGCCCTTGAGGCTAACAACAACAATAACATCAATTATGGAGAGGAGGGAACAAGGAGTGGATAGTAGAGGGGGGACGGGTGCAGGGAAGGTGCTAGTTAAGAAGATGCTCTCTGAAGAGCAGGGTCTTCAGGAGGTTCTTGAAAATTGAAAAGGAAGCCGCTGTTCTGGTAGTGCTTGGAAGGTCGTTCCACATTTGTGGAACGATGCATGAGAAGAGTCTGGATTGTCCTGAGCGTGGTGTAGGCGCTGCTAGCCGACGATCCTGTGATGACCGGAGCGGCCGGGCCGAGACGTAAGCCTTTGCAAGAGGATTCAGGTAGATGGGAGCCGTACCATCTCGGACTTTGTATGCTAGTGTTAGCAATATAAAAAAATACCCCTACTCACACATCATGCTCCAGTTCGAGGACCGCTCTTCACCGAGCCCAGCTGCACGGCGAGGCAACAAAGGTGTTGTACCTCGTTCCTCTCCTTCAGGGAACAGTAGTTAATGCATAACTTAACGTTCCCTTTCGGTCCCCTCCAGCTGGAGTGTGCAGTCCGGGGTGTCCTCACTGAGACACGTTTCGGTGTAGCATAGCGCACGAGATGAGGAAAAGTCTCTGTTTATGTTTCTCATCAGGGTCAGCTCATCCATTTTGTTGTGGAGCGAGCGCACTTTGGAGAGGAAGATCCCGGGTTGAGCTGTGTGCAGTCCCCGTTTCCTCAGACGCGCGAGCGCACCCGCTCGTTTTGTCCTCCTTCAGGGTCTCACTCTCCCGATCAAAGTTGGTATTAAATCTGCCGCGGATGCAACAAAAATCGAGGGTAAATCCACTGGTATCGTAGTTTTGTAGCTTATGAGTTCTTCTCTGGAGCAGGAGGACCCAGACACGCAATTTACACACAAACAAAACATAAAGAGCGCACCAAAGTACCAGGGCCTCCATCTGCGGCACCATCTTGGTAGCCCGCTCTGTCTGGTTAAATAATGGGTCCCTTGGATTTCTGTTTATCAGCATTCAATCCTGAAGCACCCAAAATAATTATTTTATTAAAATGATGTGAATAAATGTGACATCACCAATAAAAAACAACTCTGAAACAGAACGTTTTAATATGTGAACTCTAAAACGTCTCCTTCAGTAGCTTGGCCTGCCCATGGGGCTGGCTGGTCAGGCTAGCATTTCCATCAGCTGGCTGTTGGACTGAACCAGTCAGTCTCCCGCTGGTTCGTGACTGCATCACTGCTGACGCTAACAAAATGTAAAGTTTAAAGGGACATTATGGAAGTTTGACATCCAAAACATGTATAGAAATAATAAATGTCTTCTTCATACATTCTCCTGCAATGCCCTGGTCCTGTAGAATGAGCCCTGGCATTTTTACTGTGATTGCCTGTTTTTCTGTAAAATCACAGAAAAAGAGAGATGCTCGGGTCGAGCAGGCTGCATCATGCGCGTTCACGCTCAGGCATAGCACGTAGCATTTGCTATCAGTAGCTTTAGTCTTTGTCGCTGTTCCTAATGCCTAGTGATGAACCTAGCTACATTTCTGAGGACCCTTAGCTACTTTCTTCTAGATATTTCCTGCAAATTAGTAACAAAATAGCCATTTTCGCTCCGAACCGTTCTTTGGTTTGACGTTGTTTCAGCTGTCATCAAGGATATAAAATTTACAGATGCTATGAACTTTACTGGTGTGTAGCTCACCTTGTAAGATGTCTGACTCTCATGCAGAAGACCTGGGTTTGATTCTGGGTGTGAACTTTTATTTGAGAATCGTGGAACGGCATTTAAGTCACAGATAAAAAGATGTGGGTTCAACTTTCATTTTGGAACAATTTTTCAAGCAAGGGAAGGGAATGATCTGAGCATGCAGGAGGACTGACCCATCTTAAACCTTTGTCGGCTGTGCTGAAGAGAAAGGTACAGAACCACATTATTTAATTAATTAGCTGTGCGTTCTGTCCTCCTGGCAACACACTCGCACACACACACACACACACACACACACACACACACACACACACACACACACACACACACACACACACACACACACACACACACACACACACACACACACACACACACACACGGGACTGTCTCAGCTGTTATTTTTGTTAAGGAGTGTGCACGTACAGCATGCGCGCCTCGTGCACAAGCCTACTATTGAAGCTGCCGTTACGCTTTTGGCCTGAGGGGGCAATCACGAGCATAAAAATTCAAAACTCTGTAAAGTCCCTTTAATGAAGACTGGTAATGTGATGAGTTAAATCAGTATCAGCCTTCAGAACCAGAATCGTTACATCGAAGTGAAAACATTTGTTTTGCTGAGTCGTGACTTTGTTCTTGTTTGTTTGTTTGTTTGTTTCAGCCGTACGACAGCCTTCCCACCTCTCAGACCTGCTTTTTCCAGCTGCGTCTGCCACCCTACTCCACTCAGGCTGTCATGGCTGAAAGACTGCGGTACGCTATCAATAACTGCCGCTCCATTGACATGGACAACTACATGCTGTCCCGGAACGTGGATAATGCTGAGGGCTCCGACACGGACTACTGATGTTTCCACGCAGATACCAAACAGATTCCTGGGAATGACAGAGCACGGAGCGACTCGCAGCCCCCATCGTAGCACACTGAGCAGATGGACACCCTGACATTTTAAGTTTTACGCTCAGATCTTTTTTTTTTCTCTCTTGGTGGTTTATTAGCAGTTTTAACATGAAAATCCACACAAGGAGTTTAATTTGGGGTTTTTCGTTTCCCGCCTTCAGGGTTTCTGCATGAAGATGCTATAGTTGTTTGGGAATGTACAGGGAATCATCAAGAGGAGAGAACGTTGTACATTGTGTAAAATGCTTCATTAGGAAAATGTTTTGCATCGTTTCCATATTTATTGTTTTCATTGCCAACGGCGGGTTTCCCAAAACAAAACAAACCCAATAAAATACATGGAATATCTGATATGTGGTGTGTTTTAGACAAGAGTCGGTCATTTACTCAGAGAAGATGAATACCACAAATAAAACCTAACATCCTGATCTGGATCAACCACAAACATGCAGCTGTAGGAGTTGGTAAATTGAGTGCTTTAAGAGCTTAATATATTACCTCTACTTATGACCAATAAGCTGTGATACTTTATATAAATATAGAATATCGACCTGCTTGATCTTACACTCTTAAAAATGCTGGGTTATTTTGCTAACCCAACTGCTGGGTTAAGGCTGATTTTTAAGCAGTTGGGTCAATTTAATACAACATTGGGTCAAACATTTTGACCCAGCATGTTGGGTTAAAAAGGGCGGTAAAAAGAAGGATCCTCCCCCCCCTTCACCATTTTAAAGTGGAGGATGACAAGGACTTGCCTCATTTCCATGGATCTTCACATCAGCAAGGTTTAAACATAAGGTAAGATGTTGATGATGGAGTTTGAAAATGTGTTCCGGTAAAGCAGTTGAAGGCAGGTAATGCAGTAAACAAAGAGATTTTAAGCCTACAAGAGCTTTTCAACCGAATATAGCTTCGAGTAGCTAGCTAGCTACTTAGCTTCCCAGCATCAATCTACTTCATTAGATATAATGGAACAGAAAATCTGTGACAAAACTATCTGTGCTCCAGACAGTGTTTTACTATTTGACCACCCTCCCTTTGTTCGTTTGACATGATGAGGCTCAGGAAGTTAGGCCTACTATGCATAGCATCCCCACTAGCAGCAGGGGCTCTTTATGCTGAGGTCTGTGCAATACCTCCCGCTACTTGTGTAACAACTTGGGATAACAAACAGCAGCCTTTCTGCACAAAACGTATGCCAAAACCATACTGAGACCGTGGTCTAAAAACCGTACTACAGACCGTACCGTGGGCTATCTGTACAGTTGCACCACTATTATTTACAGCCAACTCCAAATATGCTTCCACAACTTGTATGAAACCATATCTTTTTCATGCCTTAATTTTTTTCCCTTTCTTTCTCTTTTTTTTTTCTTCAATTCCCCTTACTTTAGGACTGGAACCAACATGGTGGAGTACCTGACCGGGGCCACAACAGACGACCCACATGTTCTTATGCTTGGTGAATGCCATCGATGTTCCCAAGCATTCGTTATCCTCAATGGGACTGCCATGGAATATCCCTCACTTTTGGGTGCAGTTGATGGCTGTTTTAAAACATTTTTTGTGTTTGATGTGAATTACCCAAAACCATGTGCCCAAGTTTGGGAGTTCATTCAAACGGTCATCTTTGAAATGCCTGGGCATGAATCAAATGCTGTAAAGCTAATGAGGGCTCAGTTGGCTATGATTTAAAGTTGATGTTTTGCTAGCATGGGGATGAATTACATGTTTTTGGACATTTACGTAAGTACCGTTCTTCCATTAGCATTGGGTTGAAAATGTTCATGATCTTCAGGTGTCTAATATTTTAATATTTGTCATTAAAACACATTTACACAAATGCAATAAGCAGAGTTTTACAAAAAATGAGCGGGACCATAAATGTTTTTAAATACTCTTCAGTTGTATTAATATTGTTATGCATTTTAAAAATGAAAAAACATGTGGTCAATAAAGAATTGACTGAGACATGTTCATTTTGTGTACTAAGTTATTCATTAAGCATTTTATTTTATTTTTTTCATATAACCCTATATTCTAGAATTGGGTCATTTTAACCCAATCTTTAGTTATTAAATAACCCAGAAGTTGGGTTTTCTTTTTAACCCAGTTTTGGGTTACCCTAATTATACAGTTGGGTCATTTTAACCCATTAGTTGGGTAGAAAACATAACCCAATATGCTGGGTCAAACCCATAACCCAACCCTGCTTGGTTAATACAACCCAGCGTTGGGTCGGTCCCTTTTTGACCCAGCGCCTGGGTTACAAAATAACCCAAGTTGGGTTATTTTTAACCCAGCAGTTTTAAGTGTGTAGGATGTTTAATCAGAAGATTCTAGGATTCTTTGTTTATTCAGGTTTGTAAAAGTAAGAATTTATTTTCCAAACAATTAAGACATGACAAGATTACTAATATTTACTGTGGTGGATGGAATATGGTGTTATCAGAACTTTCGTATCTAGAAGAGCTGAGAATTCTGGTCTAAAAGGGAAAAAATTTGGTTTGCGTTAAGCTACGAGGTTGATTCTCATCAAAAAGCATCAGACGCTATCTGTGTGTCTACCTCACCCTTTGGAAGACTCTCTTCGTGGATCCGAAGGTCAGAGAGGTGGATGACCTCTGGCACTGAGGGCTGTAGAATGACCGTAGCACTGACCCTTCAGTCCAGAGATGTTTTCTGGGTCACGACAGATGGAACCGTTGCGTCTCGGAGGACTCTTAAGGAGTCGGAACAATATCAGCTTTGTTCAGCACGAACCGTTTGCTGTGTCAGCTCTTAGCAGGGTTTTGGCAGCTTGCCAAAAATGCTCTGGGTTAAAGAGGCTTCACTCCGGATGGCTGTTCCTGACCTCTTTCTCTAGAACTGAATGCTGAGTGATGGAAGCTGGAATGCGACTGCTGAATCACCAGAGTGATTCTCTTTTAATATTCTCATATTATGATTTGTGTGGCCAATCGGAGCTTGACATGTTAAGAAGTGTCAACCACCAAACCTCAGACATCACGCCTTCTCAGAAGCAGGATGCTCTGATTTGTGGGTAAGAAAATATCTGTGTGTCTGCAATGACATTAACCTTGCGTCATGAGGAGATATGCAGTGTAGATAATGGTTTGCTTGTTAAATCCAACATTCCTGATTGTCAGGCTCAAAGTCAGATCAGTCAGCCAATCAGTAATTGCACCCCCTGGAGCAGTGGCGGCTGGCCAGTAGAGGGCGATAGGGCGCCGCCCTCCCAGTTTCCCCACTGTTTTTAATTTTTATTTAAAAAAATAAATAAAATTAACAATAATCACATATTCTAAGTTAATTGTGTGTTTTGTAACAAAAATAAATCATATATATATATATATATTGGTATCTGCCGGTCTCTGCCGAGCGGTGGAGGCTGTGTGCTGTTTTTCAATCACCCAAACAGGACGAGACCAGCTGTCCAATTGCTGACAAGAAAATCAAAGGGTAGGAATGGGAATGTATCCAATCAGCGTCGACGTTGTTTCAGAACGTTTCAGAAGCATGATGGGCGATAGAGCTACCGCCAAGGCTTTCGTTGGTGTTCGGTAGAACTCGGAGAGTCTCGACTCCAGCACGTTTTTGGTCGTTGACTCGTGACGGTCATGACGCAGACGCAGACATGGACGCCAGTGAGCCTACAACCAGGATACCGGATCTCAGCAGCCACTGAATTCAGTTCGGTCTCTTCTCCAGTATCCGTTTGAGAGGAGAACTATGGTGGAAAAACTTAATGTCAAAGAGCTTGGACCAGATCAGCCCGACGTAAAGATAAGCCAGCAGGACAAGGAGAAGGGTAAACTGTACACACGACGCTTCTCCCAAAATTGGTACACCAGGAAGCAGTGGCTAGCTGGATGCAATCACGCTAATGCGTTATTTTGCTTTCTGTGTTTGTTATTCAAAACGGCTGGGATCCACAGAAGGTGGATGTGGAACTTGTGTCTCATTGGGGACTCCATTCATTCTCTGACTGAGGAATGCAGCGCATCAGTGCAGCAGCCAACAAAGAAACGGAGGACGTTTGGACAGGGAGAATAGCAGCTGGGTGCAGAGGTAAGCTGTACATTACATTTCTGTAAACAAGACAATCAGAATCAGAAATCCTTGGTTGTCCCACAAACAGGGACATTTGTTTAATAACATGTTTAATGTGCAATAACTGTAAAAACTAATTTCAACACACATACCTATTATACATATTTAATCATGTAAATGTGTATTTCAAGTAAATTTGTACATACATCAATCTGATTCCATTTTACTTGTTACACTTCTGCTGCAGCAAACAAATTTCCCAGCTTTTGGGACAATAAAACATTTCTGATTTGTCCCAAAAAGTGGGAAATATGACATTTGTAAGAGGATACTGATGACATTATTTCCTATGAAAGTGTTTCCACTTTCCATAAGTCCTAACAGTGTAAATTTCTGGCATTTTGTCTAAGTAGTGTTTACTACCATTACTGTAACAGTGACCTGCTCATAATTTTTCGTGTTCACTCAAATGTTGAAATTAAACAAAATGTTTTTGTTACTTGCCTCTTGCATTGCCTATTTACCATTTATGGTCATGTTATTTTATGTGCAATTTAATGCAGTATTTTTCAACCTTGGTCTGCAAGGCAGCGTGCCAATAGTCAGACACACCTGGATTAATCAGTTTGTCCAATGATGTAAGACAGGAAATAAAAGAGCTGTGCTTAATTCAGGAAATAGTGAAGTTGTGCACAAAGCTCAGAAAGCACAAGTTTGTTTAAAAATAAAAAATAGCACAGCCCCACCAAAAATATTTTTCACCAGCCGCCACTGCTCTGGAGGCCGAGTAACACCACCACCATTCCTGTCTGATCAGCTCATCAGCTGAGTGAGAGCACCTGTCTGCAGGATGCAAACAAATTCAGTCTGCACCTCAGAAGGGAAGCGGATGCAGCAAAAAGAAAAAAAAGACTGTTCAGCTTGGGGGAAACCACAAAGAGGCTACTGGTATGGATCTGACAACATTCTACTGTTAAATAAAGTTACATGACATTACCTGCTTAGATTAGGCAAGATAATTTATTCTTTTTGGTTTGTAATCATATAAATCTGTTTCTGTTTGAAGGTTTTCAACCTGATTACCTTGGTTTCTGATTTCCTAAACTTGACACTGATCGTCATATATAAATCTTTCAATGTAATAATTCATTTCACAGATTAATCAAAACAGTTCATTTAGTATTCATATAACCAAATAATTATTTAATGATTATTTATGAGTTGTAAAAGTTCTTCTGTCTTGTGCTGTGAATAAAACCAGTCTTAGGTAAGAGTGAGCCTGTAAGGACCTTGAAGCC